TCGGGGCTCCTGCTGGGGGGACTGTCATCTGACACTAGCAGGGTGACGGTATTTGGGTGACGCGGCGATAAGCGCTGCCTGCACAAGTCCTCAATCATCTACCATGCGGGTACAGATTGTATGTACCGATATCTGCTTTTAGGTCGGTAGGCCGGCTTGTAGTTTACAGGTGACGGCCACGGACTGTTGGTAACGTACGAAACTCGCATGTAGTCAAGTTTCCAGGCTGGCCAAAAATGCTGACAAAATGAATTAAGCATCGCAGCTTGCTTTGGCCTCCAGCGACACTCGCCCGCCTCGCAGTCGGCAAGCTCGGTCAAACCCCAGGTCGTAGGCCCTCCAACTGGCGACGTACGCCCAGATTCTTTTCGTTGTGGTTTCGCCTCGATGGCGCCGTGAGCTTCCACCCAGCTTGATGGCTGGACGTGTAAATCTGGTTGGCCTTGACCATGTAGTGTCCGGTATTAGTGATGGATAATCAGACAGTGTGAACAAAAGGAAGGACAGCACTCCATTGACATTTCCCCTCGGAGAACCTCAAGGCAGAAACAACGAGGATCCTGACATAATATACACAGACTTTGATGATTATTGCCAATTGATTGCGTAGGAAAGCGGGCAATGATCAAAGACAGAGGCGGTTGGTCAGAGTGAAGGAAGACGGTCAGTGCAGTGAGACATGGAAGTCTGGCTCCGTCCTGATTGGCTATCTTGTATTTTGGGTAATGATGTGTAACATTAGCACACATCCGGCACCTGAGTGGTGTTAGTGCTTGGCCATGACAAAGCTTGGAGGGTAGTTAATGAGGTATTGATTTCTAACGGATCTCTGCGCACCCTCCTACCTCTGACCGCTTCCAGCTTGCTAGTGTGTTTGAAAACATGCACCACTTGATAAAAGAACTGCCGCACGTCGCTTAACATTGAGGAGTACTACTCCGTGCAAACTTACCTCTAACCGGAACGGGAATTGGAAGTCCCCAACGATCATCGAAGGCGTCCCGTCCTCGGTCTTTTACATACCTAGGTAGGTAAGTACCTACAGTACCTACACCGCGCACTGCAGCACAGTATCTGTACCAACGGACACCCGCCAACGTGCCCGTGAGGCAACTACTATTAGAGCCTGGTTCTTACTCCAAGCTCGCCTGCTCAACTGTTCTCTCCATTTTCTCTTTTTTATTTCCACCACCACCTTTGCAATCCAGCAATCATCGTCAAATCCGGCTTCCATCCTGTTTCATCAATTTTGACTGTAAGTCGGCCCTTCACGTTCAAGCGTTATTCGCCAACCCGTCGCGGATTTGGACACCGCCTCGGTTTGCGGTCCACTGCCTCGTGTCGGATTGTCGTCGACGAGGACCTTCCTGGGCTTTCTCTAAGAGGCTCCCTCCCATCAGATCTGATTCCCTTCATCGTCCACCATCAACAACACCGCATCAGGCGGCTACCAGCAACGGACTACAGTAAGTGGGCATTATGCGGTGAATGATTTGTATCTTTTGTTCTGTTTCGATACACACCGTTGTCGTTGTCGTCGTGGGTGGTCTTGTTCCCTTCTGTTGCCGGCTCAAATGATCGCCTTCCCTTCTTGTGCCATTCAGTGCTGTTGCTTGTGGCGGGTTTAGCGCTACCTTTACCGCCTATCGTATCCGTTCACTATAAGAGTCCATGCATCCCGCTTATCGTCCGTCCCCTTCCTCGCTCCCGACTTTTGGACTACAGGTACTTGCTGGACCTTCTTTGACTAACACATCCATCTTCAAATCATTCAGTCCGGCATCATGGCGGCACCTCCACCAAGCCCCGATACCCCCATCACCCTCAAGGTGGCATTTGATGGTGCTTCTCGCCGGTTCAAGCTCCCGCTCCGCGACCTAACTGCTAGCTCGCTGGAGATCAAGGTACGTCACTATTTGATCATCAAAGACACACCGCGGCAGTCTTTTCATCCCCTTTTATCAAATACAGGACATATCCACTGACAGTTCGACCAGTTGCGTGCCCACCTGGAGATTCCCGCCGAAACCAACGTCGTCTTCGAGCGGTATTCCGACTCTGCTGGCACATACGTCACCCTTGATCCCGCCAATACTTCGGTCTACAAACAGTTGTTCCGCGCGGCCAAGGCGAAGCAGAAGCTTAAACTGCGTGTCAACCGTGCGACGGCAGAGACGCCTGCCCAGACCTCCACTCCCGAGGCGCCCCAGGACACCACAACAGAAGCCAAGCCCGCCTCGGTCGAAGGCGAAGTCACAGAGACAGAGGGCGATGCTTCAGCGTCAATCCCCACTAGCCCCGTGTATGAAGAAACCACCGAGGTCATCAAGTCAATTGAGACGGACGCTTCACCCAGCAAAACCTTTGAGTCTCTCCAAGCTCAGCGCTCCGACATTATCACACGCGTCAACAACGCCATGGACCGTATCGAGGATCTTCAGTCCCGCCTGCCCTTCGGCCGTGCCGCCAGTGTAGCGTCTATGCCTATCAGCGCCATCTCCCACACCGACACCCAGGAGTCTACCCGTTCCGGCTATGCCGTCTGCTGCAACAGCTGCGACCGGACCATTCCCTATGAGCATTACCACTGCTCCGTCTGTGACGACGGCGATTTTGATCTTTGCCCTGACTGCCACAACAACAAGGGTGTCATTTGCCACCAGTATGGTCACGTCCTGACCAAGCGCTTCATCAGCAATGGCTCCATCACTACCGTTGACACCATGCCTCGCATCGTCAACCAGGATAGACTCGCACATTCCAAGGCTGCAGGGGAACGCCTTGGTGAAGCTCATGCCGAATATATGGCCAAGCTCCAGCAGGCTGAGTATCAGAGGGCCAAGCGCCAGCAGGCTGAGTTCGAGAAGATGAAGGCTGAGAGCTCGAGATCATCTTCCCCCCCTCCTCCTCCCCCCGCTTCCCGCTACGAGAGCGTCCCTCCCTCCGTCGAGTCTTACTCACAGGCTACTCTGCGCACCTGCAACTGCTGCATTCAAGACTTGCCCGAGGCCGAATTTGTCCATTGCCAGACATGTGATGACTTCGATCTTTGCAAGGTTTGCTTTGCCAAGAATCGCCACGGGCATCACCCCAAGCACGCCTTTTCCCCTCTTGTACCAGGGACTTGTGCGGAGGCGGACGTCAAGAGCCGTCTCGCTCCGGGCCGCAACCAACTTCACCACGCTATCTGCGATGGCTGTGACAAGGACATCCGCGGCGTTCGTCACAAGTGCCTCCAATGCCCCGACTGGGACTATTGCTCAAACTGCTACGAGTCAGCTTCATATATCCATGCCAATCATCGCTTCGTCCCTATTTACGAGCCACTTGAGCCTACCCATATGTGCCCTGTCCCGCGCGCTCTTACTCACGTCGGAGTATGCTGCGATGGCCCGCTGTGCAACAACAACCGCTCTGGCTATACCTACATTGTCGGCGACCGCTACAAGTGCGCTGTTTGTGACGATGTGGACTTCTGCGCCAAGTGCGAGGCGAGCCCCGCCAACACTCACAACAAGACCCACCCCTTGATCAAGTTCAAGACCCCCGTTCGGAACGTCAATGTCACGACTACCGGCGAGCATGAGAATGGACGCAGGATGCCGGCCATGGGTGATCGGCCGCGTTCTGGCCGTCGCGTTACCACTTCGCGTGCCACAGGTACCGAGTCGTTCCAGTCCAACGTCATGACTGTGGTGGACGTAAAGCCTTCCGAGCCTGCTCCCGCTGTAAAGACCGAGGAGGCTGAGACCCCGGCTCGTGCGTATGTCGCCACATATGTGCGAGACAAGGTTGTTGATGGTACCGTTTTCGGACCTGACCATGTCTTTGAGCAAACCTGGGTCGTCCGCAATGACGGACCCACTCCCTGGCCGGCTGGATGCTTTGTCAAGTACCTTCATGGCGAGTACATGGGTCATGTAGACCCAGCTCACCCCACTGCCACCGGTGACCTCGAGTCTTGCTTGCAATCCAACGTGTGCGAGCATCCGGTGGCTCCTGGTGAATCCGTGCCCTTCACGGTTCTTCTCCGGAGCCCTTCAAGGGAAGGCAGACATCTGTCGCACTGGCGGGTGTCCACGAAGCAGGGCCTCATGATTGGCCACAAATTGTGGTGCGATATTGTGGTCAAGAAGCCTGAGATCGCTCCTGAGGAGAAGGTACAGGAGGCCCCCGCCAAGGTTGAGGATCTCGAGGAGAACATGGCCAAGCTCAACATTGAGCCTGAAACCAATGACGCTGCCCCAATTGATCACAGCCAGGTTGTCTTCCCCAAGCTCGACAAGGAGTCACCTTCTGCCAGCGTCCATCAGGAGGTCGCCCACTCTCCGGTCGAGTCTCGCCCTGAAGAGGAAGATTACGAGGAGTGTGAAGATGTTGAGTGGGACGAGGATGCGTCCGAGTCCTTCATGACTGATGAGGAGTACGACATCCTTGACGCCTCGGATGAAGAGTCTGTTAGCGGCCCCAACAAGTAGTTTTGCTTTGCGCACTTTGCATGTTGGGATCAGGAATTGTGACGAGAACCATGGATAACGGAGTGCTTGGACGGAATGTTTTGTTGGGGTACTTGGGTCAATTGATGGGTGCTTTAAATTGCTAGTCTTTTTTGCTTTTGTTAACGTAACCTCGTTGTTATGGAAATTACTCCTCTCCTACTGTCTTCTGTTTAGTTTGTGCTTCATGTGATAAGTCCCAAAGGACAAGTGTCTAGAGAGAAATCAAGTGATTAGTCGACGGCTCTGGTGATGAATTGTACTCGGTGTCATTGCTCTACACTACACCGCTGCGCATTCATCTCATCTTTGTGTGAACCTGGCTATTCACCACTTCATAATCTAGAGGTCACTTCTCTTGTCACTGTTTATGGCCACTCAGATTGTGCTCAATAGCTAGAATATGTTAAAATAGATACATGGAGGTTGTTCCGTCATCAAATTCTTGGTCCATCCCGATCGCCAGCCGTAAACGACACGACCGTGCCTAGATATGCAGGGATGGATGTATTTCCAGTAATATCCTTGGAGCGTCAAGTTTTGCAGAGAGATGAAAGACTGTGTTAGCGTACCAGCAAGATAGAACGTGGTACACCTTTGCGATCGTCACGATGTGCATATAGGTATGAGGTGAAGCGCAAATTCGATTCCTCTGGCCGTCTAAACCCACGCAACATGGAAACAGGATAGGTATATAAGACACAACCTTAAAACAAGACAACATTAAGCTACCACCGGACACACAGAACCGTGGCGACATGATTCAAACCCATATTTTTCTCTCTCTTCCGCCGGACCCAAGAAGAAAAGCCCGGACCAGATCGACAGGACACTCGTCCTTTTTACTCAAAGGTAGTCTTCTTGCCCTGGTGAGCAACAGGCGCACCAGTAAGTCTGGCAACACTAATATCCTGAGCCGTCTTGATTTGACCATTATCTCCCTCTTCCCTCTTCTTGTAAGGAACCCTCTGTGGCCTCTCACCACCGTCTTGTCCTTGCTTCTTGCCGCCAGCAGCGCCCTTGCCTCGGAACCGCTTGTCATATCTCGTCTTGTCGTCCTCGGCCAACTCGATCTTGAGGGTGCGGCCATGTAGCTGGTTGACCCACCACTTGCGGGTCTTTATCCTCTTTTCCGTTTCCTTCTTTTCCTTTGTCTTTTCCGCGTCCGCGTTGTCACCGTCGTTGGCTTCGGCTTCGGCTTTTTGGTCTTCATCCATAAAGTCCTCCAACTCGGGAATCTCCTCGCGGATCTTGACGAACCCCTTGACCGCCCACTGCGCGGCTTCGCCCTCCTCAAAGTTCACCCACCCGTACCCCTTGCACTTGCCGCTGTCCTCAAACGTGGCCACCTTGACCCACCGGATGGCACCGCACTTGTCAAAGTGGTTGCGCAAGTCGTCCTCGGTCGTGTCAAACGAGAGGTTACCGACAAAGATCTTGGTTGAGCCGGCGAACTTGCCGCCTACTAGCGCCTCGTCCTTCTTTCCACCAGCAGCAGCGCCCTTGGCATCCCCCTCCTCCTCCTCCTTCTTCTTCTCCGGCCGTCCCTCGAACGACGTCGCGTCCTTGATCAACAACTTGCGCTTGTACCACTCGGTCTCGCTGAGAGCAATGGCGGCGACCTTGGTGGCCAGCGAATCAAAGTCGACGTAGGCGAAACCGCGGTTCTCGGGCTTCTCCTTCTTGGGCTGGCCGGGCTGCGCCTTGGCCGTGGGCATGTGCACGCGCGTGATGGACTCGGGCGTGATGGAGCCGCCGCTGTTGTCGACGAGCCATTGCTTCAGTTCGCTCTTGGTGACGGTGAAGCGCAGGTTGCCGATCCAGACGCCGTGGGGGGACCGTTCCTTCTTTTCCTTCTTCTTTTTCGTCTTGTCGCCGTCCTTGGCGGCGGTTTCGTTATCCGAGTCGTCGGAGTCATCACCCTTGTCGGAGGAGGGCTTGGTAGGGAGGGTCTTGCCCTTCTTGAGCAGACGCTTGGCTTTCTTGGAGGGAGGCTCGGGGGCGGTGACGTCGATTTCGATTTCGGTGAGCTCGGCCTTGCGCTTCTTGGAAGATTTCTTGGGTTTCTCGTCGGAGGAGGCGGCGGCGGCGGCATCGGCGGTGGTGTCCATGGCGTCGACGGTTTCGGCCGATTCAGTAGACTCGGCAGGCTCCTCTGTGGCCTTGCGCTTCTTGGAGGATTTATCCTTCTTCTCTTTCTTCTCCTTCTTGGACTTCTTCTCGGAAGCGAGATCGGCGGTGGTGTCCATGGCGTCGATGGGAGCGGACTCCTGCGCGGAGGCGGTCTCGAGGTCTTTTGTTGCTGCCATTCTGGCTGGCTTTAGCGTATCGGCCGAGATAGTATCAATAGGCAAGAGAAAAAAAATATTGGAAATAGCAACAAAATCAGAGTTGTTGATTCCTCAAATTTGCAATGTCTATAGAAGGGGGACAGCCGCGCATTGACGCTGAGATTCCCCAATTGCTGGCAGCACAAGATTTTCGAAAATTTACTTTGCGATAAGCGAAGCGATAAGGAAGGGGTCACTGTTTCTCGCTCCAGTTGCGGGTCCGCTTTCTTGTTTTTTGGAGCTTGGTCGGGTCTCCATCGCGCAAAATGCGGGGGAGCGGGCGGGACCTACCTTCAACCTCCACTTTCGGGTTCTCCACTCATACCCCTCTGAATCTCGTGCCAAATTTGCAAGAGCCGCCATCTTTTCAGATCTCCCGCCGTCATTTCATGATGGGACTTGCGCTTTGCTTGATTGCCCCTTTTTAATGCGATGTCCATGGGCCCGATCTTTGGGTGTCAAACGTGTCTTGCTCCGATGACAGGCCTTGAAGTGCAGCCGTACTTAGGTGGGCAAGGTAGGTACGAGACCAGCGTGCAGAATATTGGTACTCATCAACTGGAGTATGGTACAGTACACGTACTTTTGTACATTGGTCGCAAATGGATGGAATATTTCCCCGACAATGACAGCCCACAGCACCACGCAATGAGCCAAATGTAGCCACGAGCACAAGTCGATGATGCCAATATGCTGACTTGGCCCCTCTCCCACTTCATCATTGCCAGGATGTCCCTTGCCATGAATAATAGCTCACGGTGTATTGTAGTGTACCTAGTATGTAGACACGTCTGCCAAACTCGTCCATACTGAGCAGTGTACTCGTTGGGTTCTTGGAAGACGGTTGGACAAATTACTTTTCAGGGAGTCTCTTAGCCCGTATAGCGACCCTGAGCTATACAAAGCTGGACAGTTACTCCCGATAGGAAGCATAAGCCCCATTCAACTCTAGGCCAGTCACTCCCAATGAAAGGATATCAGATCCTTCGGAAGTTGTTCCAGAGTGATGGCCATTAAAGTCCCGCAGAATCGAAACGGAAACGACATGAGCGTGTTGCTGACGTTGCTCGAATCAACCCCCCGAAGCTTTGATCCGGATCGAGCGAATCGTCAAGGGAGCTGATCGGGTGGGCAGGTGGGCCACGCGGCCTCAATGTCGGTCCATCATCTCGCCAAGCGCAAGGGCCAGGAACAGAGGCAGCGTTGGCAAACGCCTGTCTAAAACACCCACTGCAGGCCGAGAGGATGCGGAAAAGCCAACAATGGTTTTTCCAAGGTCCTTGGTGCTGACGGTACAGTGGTTGGTAGCGCTGTACACTACATACCGTTGACGGCCTGTCGCGGTCGCTTAACAAAGTCTCATCGTTTTGCGTTTGATGACCGGAAAAGTGGAGGTAATTGGTACCCGAAACCATCTTTTTGGGGCCTCACGTGCCGAGAACCACCGATAGGGCTTGGCGAGATCTGGCGGCCTTGAAAAGAAGAAAAAAAAAACCGACAAAAGGTCCTCAAAGACTCCACCGGTCCACGTCGTACGTGTACACTACTTTTTTTTGGCCTCGGAAATGTCCTCACAAGCAAGAATTCATTGGCAGCTAGTCTGAACAGGCTCTGGAGCTTCTCTCTTACTACATACATAGCAACGCCTCATTGCTTGGGCTTGCAGGCCGGCTTGTCTTGACCGCTTGAGATCTTTCAAATGGTTCGTCGTCTCGGAGTTTGATGCATGCATGCACTTAAACATTCTGGTAGGGGTCTGCGAAGTACCAACCACAATCGGTTTTGTCAGGGGACTAGTACTTGATGCGGTTAGTATAGCCAAGGACCAAACAGCTAATAGCCTCTCCCGGTTAGCCACCATGTTGGCCACATGGACTCCCTCGACAAAACGGGCCCTGGGCCAGCTGTGGTGAGTGGACCGGGCGTTCCATGAAAATCGACATCCACTCTTTTTGTTTTGCCCGTCGCCGCCCTTGCTAGGTAAAAGTTCCTTGCAAATGCAAAGGGTCGCTGCTTGCTTGCTGGTGGTGCTGGTGCTGGTGCTGCTCCTCCCTTCCGATACACACCACTGGTTGACAGTCCCGACATCACCAATCGGCGTAAAAGCTGCTCAGACCTTGAAGAGGCCCAGCCAACCGTTGTTTCCGCTGGCAGACACTGGCCTCCGCAGGACACCACCTGGACACCACACACATCACACGCTGACTGGTCACTCATCACCACTGCTTGCCAGGACCGGGACGCCAGTGAGAACCAGGGAATGAGCCACTGGGAGGCTCAAGCGAAGGTCAAGCGGATGCGCTTTTGTTGTTGGCCTTGGTTGGTCGCTTTTGGCTTCTCCGCTGGCTGCATTGAGAGGGAGCACCTTTTCCCTCTGCGCATTCCTCCTCACACTCACAGTCCTTCATTCGTCGCAATCCCGTCGCAAATCCGTGCAACGTTAGGTTTGGTGCAGAGGGAGAAAAAGGTTCCTCACTTTCGGTCGCTTCTTCAGAGCCAAGAACGTCCAAGTGAAAAAAAAAAAATCCCCACCAGCCATTGGCATCGCACTGTGAACTGGAAAAGCAGTCCAAGGACTTACTAGTCTGACTGCGCGGGCCCTGCCTGCCATTCGCAAGAGTTCGCTCCATTCAGTTCTTCTCACTCGCCATTCTGCGCTTCCCTTGACCTGCTTCCACCCTTCCTTTCATTTCTACTAGTCTTTCTTCTCTTCCTTGACTCGCAATTCTTCGTTGCGACTCGCAACACTTGCAACTCAAAAAATTAAAATAAAAGCGAGCGGTCTGACGCCGCCTGCTCCCTCTCACTTTTTTCAGCCTCAGATCGCCTGGCTTCTTCCACCGCCGTCGACCCGTCATCCATCCGCATCGTCGTCGTTCTCCTATTTGCGTCGGCAGCGCCACGCAACGCTATACCGCCAAACCGAGCATTGTTTTCAATCCCACAATGAACGTGCTCCTATCGCCGCAGCCGCCCTTCTTCCCTCATCAACACGAACCCTCTCGCCGCTCGCCGCCTAGAATAAGTAGGTTGTTGCTGCTTATTTGTCATTGTATCCCAGCGTGCATCCAGCACCGCTGGTACAAAATTTGAAATTTACTACAGGCTTACTAACATCTTTTTGCCAGTGTCGCAACACACCATGGCGTCCAGGAAAAGAAAAGCCGATGACGATGACAACGAAATGTCGATATCGCCGACCGGCTCGCCCGCAATCAACTCGCGGCAGCTCTCGAGGCCATCCAAGAAGGTCAGGGCTGGAATCGAACTTGCAGGACGTCCGCTGCCTCTTCCTCGCCTTCTCGAAACTCTCGACAAGTCACAGTTGCGAGCTGTCCTCCAGACGATTTGCGAGCGTCATCCGGGCATTGGACATGAGGTGATGGTTTCTGCACCGCGGCCGTCAGTCAACGGAGCCCTCGAGGTTTTGGGCGAATACCAGGACAAGCTACGGGCCGCCATTCCTTTCGGCAACTCGAGTTCCGAATACACCTACTTCCGAGTCAAGCAGCCGCTCATGGCGTTGGTGGATGCTCTCGGCGACTTCACCCCCCAGTTCCTGCCGCCGGTTGAGCAGCAGACGACCGTATCGTTGGAGTACCTGAACCATGCAACCAAGATCATTCATGACCTACCCGATTTTGACAGCCAGCAGTATCGCCACCACAAGGACGGAGCGTACGACGAGATATCCAGAGCGTGGGCGTTGGTGATCACGGAAGCGGCCAAGCGCGGAGGAGGCTTCCACCTGCACAACGGAAAGTGGGATCAGGTCCTGGCTAAGCACAACCAGCAGTCCGGAGGAAAGCTAGAGCAGGCCATGAACGCAATGGTCAACGAGGTTGGATGGGTCGGCGCGAACTCGAATGCCCATGGGCAGGGTTCTTCTTCGGACCCCAACTCGATACTCAACCAGCTCATCAACGGCACATATGGCGCACCTGTCCAAGTTGGTCCCTTCTAGAACAGGCGACGGCATGAACATACAAGTGCGCCATGACTTTGGAATTTATACGGATACTCATTGGACTGGGAGGATAAGCAAAGCGGACATTAAGGTCGATTGCATCATGGTTTCTTTTGTCGTTCACTTTTTCAACATTCAGGGCATTGTTTGGGGCGAATGGGGAAGGATGACATAGACAGGCGTGGGTTACTTGCGGGGATCATTGTTTTCAAGGCGTTGGCGTGTTGGCTTCCTGAATGCTGTTGTTTCTTGCCTTCATTGTTGTCTTTCTGGCCACATCTCACTGGCACAAGATACCTCTTTCCTACCGGCTGTCTCTCGTTCTAGGGGAACGACTTGTTCGTCACTTGCATGTACGCAATCTTTAGCATATTCTTGCCGAGGTCGGAAGTTTGGAGCATGGGTGTAACCAACCATCACTACCATATTCATTCCACCATAGCCACGCAATTGGCAAAACGGAGTCTCGGATAACACAGTGTGCCTGGCGGGTGACTTGGTGTAGATACCCGTACACCCGTAACATGTCCCGGGTTCATTGGGTGTATCCCGAGGTGAATTTAGCGGTTTGTTGGGATCAATCAAACTCGCCTTGCATCTTAATTGATTCTGTGATCCAAGCAAGCCGTTTCCAGCGATGAAGTTGAAGTGTCCGGATAATGACGGGAGTCCAAACGCATAATCCAGATGATCACCGCTGCCTCTCGTAATGAAGCCCCTTGCATATTTGCTCCTACACGGACAGTGGCGGCTCCCTTTAGAACCACGTACAATGAGTTGAGATATGGAGTGGCCATCATGGAATGAATAGATATGGAGGCATGACTAAGCTGGACGGAACGTGAAGGACAACTGAAGTGGAGTTCCCTCCGACTGTGTGACGGGATGACAAGAGACGGAAAGGCCTAAAAGTTGGTAAGGTCACCACCTAAAGCCCCACCGGTCAGGGGCGGGTGTTAGGCAGACGCCACTAGCGCCCCCACGTGATAACGCACTCTGAGCGCGCCTGCCCAATCTACACAGCGCGTCTTGTCGTTCTTGCCTTGATCCATCTCTGCATGCTTTGCGACGTTTGCTTTGGGAAAGTCGCAAATTTTCAAAGCTTTCTCCCTTCAACACGTCAATTCCATTCCCTCCTGCTGGGATCCCACTGCGAACGACTCGCAAACCACCAGCCTTGAGGCTGCTCTGCTAGACAAGATGCCTGCGTATGTTTACCTCTGCTATCGACCTGTGTCAACCGCGTCTCCCGCGGCCTTCCAGCAACCGAGACCCTCATTAACACTTTAACAGAGTCGGCGACCAACACAAATCCATCACTAACCCATTCGAGGAGCCACAACGGCGAATCAGCGAATACACAGCCCAAGAGATTGCCACACTACAGAGCCGTCTCGAGAAACAACTAGGACCCGAGTACCTGTCGAGCCGCGCCGGCCCATCAGGCCAAAAAGTCCACTACATTTCGTCAGAAAAATGTATCCAACTTGCGAACGAGGTCTTCGGCTTCAACGGCTGGTCCTCCAGCATCCAGAATATTCAAGTTGATTTTGTCGATGAGCATCCTCAAACGCTGAAAATCAACATGGGCATTTCGGTTATAATGCGAGTCACCCTACGCGACGGGACGTATCACGAGGATCTTGGCTACGGCCATATCGAGAACTGCAAGGGCAAGGCGGCTGCTTTTGAGAAGGCCAAGAAGGAAGCCACGACGGATGCATTGAAGCGCGCGCTGCGCCAATTTGGCAATGTGCTAGGAAACTGTATTTACGACAAGCAATACTTGGCCAAGGTCACCAAGATGAAGGTCGAGCCAACCAAGTTTGCGGAGGATAACCTACATCGGCACTCAGATTTCGTCAAGAAGGAGCCGGTTGAGGCAGATGTCATGAAGGTTGTCTCAATTGGGGCTGGCGCTCGTCCACCAGCCTTGGGAAACGAGGAGTCTTTTGAGGATTTGCTCGGAGGTAAGGCCACTTGTGCACTACTTTTTGGTGGGCTTGGCTGATGATGGCTAGAACTCGATGAGGCGGACTTCAACATGGCCGATGAGGGCCATCCGGATGAAGTCGTGCTACCACAATCCGTGCACAACAGCTTGAACGACAAGCCTGTACATCAGCAACTGACCAATCTTAACCCACAAGCACAACAGTCTCGACCTCTGACGCGATCAGGGTCAACAGGCAGCTTGAACACCCGGCAGCAACCACAGACTTCCAACCAGTTCACGGCGAGGGCCCAAAGTCGGCCTCCACAGCAACAGTTTAACAGCAACCAAAGTCGTCCTATGGGTCAACCGGTCAATAATTCCAGCAACGCAAACACTTCCAACAACCCTCAGAACTACACAACACCACAGAAGCCTGCTCCTGCCGCCCCTGCTCCCCAAGCAGGTGCAGCTGCAGCTCCCGCGCCAGAAACTGTAGGCTTCTTTTCCGCTAAAGCTGTGACTCAACTTCCGGAGGAGGCATTGGCTAGTGGCCAAGTCGCGCCGAAACCAGGTCTGGCATTCAACCCTCACGCCGAAAGCCCGTCCATCCGCAAGACGCCTGGCATCGATCACACCAAGTCTAAACCATTAGCCAGAAACGGTCAGCACGTCCCTCCAGCCAAGACAACCGAGACAGAAGCTGAACCAAGCACATCGTTTTCAAGACCTGCGGGAGCTCATGCGGCATCACGACCAGTCACGATGAACGAGGCACGCTCAGCATCGGGAAGCTTATCCCGAGGCGGGCCACCGATGGGTGGTAATGCCGGAAATATGGGCAAGCCCAACGTCGTCAACCCTCAACTTGATCATACAAGGCGGATTGGCGCGCCAGGCATGAGCGGTTTCTCTAGCAGTCCCAGTACCAACAGAGGCCAGTATCGGCCGTTGACAATGAAGAGGCCTGCTACTGTTATGGGAGGGGGTGCAGGTCAGACCAAGGACGGTAATGGTGATAGTGCGGCGACGACAACGACAGCGGCGAATACAACAGCAGGGTCGGCGACGGGAGGTAATGCAGCTCCTTCTGCTGGTAATGGTGGGAGAGTACCGTTGACTGACATGTCGGCTAATGCGTCGAATGCTACCGCAGCGGGGACCGCTACTAGTGGGCCGGAGGTTAAGAGGCAGAGGCTGGCTTAGACGGAGGGAAAGGATGGTATTGGCAGGAAAGAGGTCTATGGATACAGTCTCTACTTCGGATGAGCAGCTCTTTGGTATGGTTGTGTAAGGCGTTCATGGCGTTTTTTGGGGGCGGGCGAACATCACTCGCAGAATTTATGGATGGCTCGTCTTCTCTCTCACGGATCTTCGGGGACAAGAGTAGTGGGGCCTATAAGAGGCACTCCGGTCTGCGGAATGATATATTTTCTGAGGCGACCCTCTGTGAGAGGATCAATGCTTTGTGGCATCTTGGGATTGTAAAATAATGACGACTCAACTCGGAATAACTTCGAAGGCGCATCTTTTCATGAGACAGTTGAGACTACATGGTTTAATATCCATTACCATAACGTGCGACAATGTCGGTACCTCAATCTGTAACATCCATGATCGATAGCAATCACCAATGTAGAAGGAACTTCAACCTGCCCTGACCTCTTCAACCAACCCTCAGAACGAGATGTGCTGCTTTCCCCGTGCCTACTCTTCAAAGAAGGAAATTTTTGTCATGAAGCCTGTTCCATCTCACCAGGCAAATACTGATACTGCTACTGATATCGGTAGTGCCCTGTAATGCATGAACCAACCAGTTGCGCACCGAGATACGAGGTACATATACCAACCTTCCCGCTCCTTCCCTCCGAGGAACTCATGGGCTCCTATATGGGTTGCAGGTGTAGTGGTCTTATTATCCGCTGCCCTGTAGCTTATAACTCGGGAGCACATGGGTTCACTCCGAATTTCGAGCAGGTAACAATCCTTTTCCCCATTTCCATCCGACCTCCTCCCCCCCGTCCTTCCTTTTTTTTTCTGGACTGGGTTGAGGTGGTGCATGGTTGATACCGATTCCCTTTGTGGCAATACTACTCATCCAATATCCCTCCCAACATGGCCTTTTTTTGCCGCCTTACTAGAGCAGACATGGTACTTCACTCAGTACTATTTGTGGAAGGCTCTACCAACAAGAAGAAATTCGGGCAAAATTCCTCGTACAGATTTTACGGAAAGTTGATTGCTCTTGTTCTTTTTCTCGATCCGGACTCGGACTTCACGAACTAAGTTGTTTTGAAGAGAAAACTGTTGTCGGTGAACAGGTAGTACCTAAGTACACTCAGTCACCTTTTCCGAACCTGTGATAGGAAGGAAGCAAGGTTGATCAAGGCTCGAGCTTCTTCCTCCCGGATACATCGATCAAGGAAGCAATGCAGCAATGATAAAGGCAAAGTCCAAGTGCGAAGTCTCGACCCCAAGTCCCAGTTGAAAACCATAAGTACACTATACCTAGCTAGTGGAAGGCAAAAGGTTTCTCAGTATTAAATCTTGAATCTTATGTCCTTTACCGCACTGGTTTATATAAACCTCTTTTATCTAGTAGAACAGGTAATGTAGGCTCACAATCCGTCCTTTCAACCAACAAATTGAGGTAAAGCTGCTCTGCCCGTTGGTATTTTGAAATGCCAAATTATGCCTGCCTGCCTGCCTCCTTCCTCCTCCTCCTGAACGCCATCCTTCCTGAAAACAAGAGAGAGAAATCCAACCGCCAAATGGTACAAAAGTGAAGCAAAAAGGAAAATGCAAAAAGTATGTGCAGTGTAACTAGTGAAGCTTATATAGGAGCGTATCTTTTGTTGTTAGATACGACCATCAAGCATCGTCTTGGCAATCAAAGGCCAACCGAGGAGGGTACCAGCGACGAGGGGGTAGCTATCCTTTCAATCAGTTTCATTCATCCCTCAGAATCACTTGAGAGTAGATGAAGTTGGAACTTACACAGCAGCTTGACCAGCGAGTTTCTTGAACGAAGCACCCCAGTCGGCACCAGCAGCGCCCGTCTCAGTGGGGATGCGCTCGTAGGGGGTGTGCAACTCCATGCGGCGAGCCCATTGGCGCATGGATTGGATGACGGAGAACTGGCGGGTGCCTTTGACGGCGGCGTTGCGAGAAGTGGCCTGAGTGGCAGCGCGGAAGGCGGAGCGGGCGAGGATGGGGGAGACCATTTTGATTATGACTTGGTGTTGTTGTTGTTGTTGTGGTGTGTTTGTGTGATGTTACTCGAAAGGTTTGGAGTGTGAGAGTTGTGGTTCGTGGTGCGATACCGATGTGGTGATTGGTCAAGGAGGAGTGTAAGTTGAGTGGATGATGTTTGGGTGGTAGTGGTGAGGAAGAATGTATGAGATCTAAGATCTAGGATCTATTGCTTCTTTGATATCGATGCTGATGCTGATACTGATGCTTGATGCTGATGATAGAAGAAACAAAAAGGGTATCACAACCATCGTCGGACACGATCATCTTATAATAACCAAACTTTCCATCATCCTCTTGCTTACTTTCCGTCTAATTCCTTCCAAACACCAAAAAGATTTTCCCGCATCGCGATCTTTCCCGAACTTCCCAACTTCCCAACTCTCCAAATTCCGGCAAAATCCCAAAGAGATGGGTCCAGTTCCCAACTAGACGGCACCAAAGGGAATTGGGCCTTGCGTGCAAGTCATCATCTCACCCAAAACCGTCTCATGATGGGCAGATCCTCCATCCAGAATCTCACCACCATCCTCCGACTTCTGTTCGTCCACACGTATAACCCTCCCCAACCCTTCATTCGCAATCAGTCCAGATGGGAGAAGCGAACGGCCCAAATCATACCACAGACATTCTAAAACACCAGATGCCAAGCATCGCCCCTGCTCCCCTGTTCCCCTGTTCTCCTGTTCTCCTCCTCTCCTCAGCTACTCAGCTACTCAGCCCTACGAGTTATGTATTGGGGATGATGAACCAATCAGATGAGGTGTAATTGCCCCCTCCCCCCGGATTCTTCCCATGTGACTGGCAGACTGCTGAAGGAAAGGATCCAGGCTTTCAGGCCCTTTTGCAGCAAGAAAATGGGGGAGTGAAAGGAGTGAACGATACAACAAGGGAAATGGCACGATTTGGTGCTGAGTCTCGGCTGGTCGTGGTGTGATCGGGGGAGTCCGACTTGCCTTGGTCGAGATGTGATTGGGCAATTTACCAAAAGGGGAGTGGGGGCGCTGCTGAAGGATGGCGTTGTCTGGCCGTTTTGGATGGGAAAAATGCCAAGGGAGTGGACAGCAGGGGTGGTGATTGGTGCGGTTGGGTTATGAATGAATGGTTCTGAAATGGAAGTGCCTGGATTGTTGTGTGTTGTTTGACCCGACGCTGTTTTCTGTTCCTGGGTTTGGGTTTGGGTTGAACTTGGGGAGAAGGCGAGACTGCTTTCAGCTGACCAGCGCTGACAGGCGGGAATTCTCCATACTGGCAGGAATAACTTGTCTCCCGGGGTCTGGATGTTTGTTTGTTTTTCCCGGATGGCGCCGGCGGGCGGTCCCTACGTAGCTACCTAACCATGGGAATGGGAAATGACGAAAACCTAACCCAGATTGTCTCCGGGGGACGGTTGCGAAATTTCCCGAAATAAGTACGGCGGATTGCAAAGTAGGCGGATACATACACTTTCCGCGCTTGGTGCCGTTTGGCATCTGACAACGAACGAGCACAAGGAATGACAGCTGCAAAGGTCCTTGATTCGGCTACTTCATCGCTGCCATATTCCGGCCCGGGCCTGGCTGGGATCCGAGTCGAGATGCTATGTACGTGCCACGAAACTTTGATCCGAGTTCAAGTCCAGCACTTTAGATTTCCCAACTTGTGAGACCAGGACCGGAAAACTACGGAATGAAGCCATCGTGAGATTTCTCGGCTCTTCCCGGATCGAGCGGAGCCCCGTAACGCGGCAACCGACCACATCCGGTCCCCGAAGCGGAGCCCGTCCAGTACCCGCCGAGCCGCCATGTCGTCGGGGGAGCTCCACACGTCAGCCGATCGCGAACCCGTTAAGCGCGGGACACGGATGCACCCGGACGACAAACGCAGATGGAGCCGCGGAAGGATACGGCGTGGATTTGCGCCTTGAAACTTGAACAAGTTTGTGGAAGCGGGAGTTAGTTATCCCTTCTTTTGAAATGGTGGGCCCTGGGCGGGGCTTGCCAGGAACAGAGAAACATAATATCGGTAGGCATCTCGTACGATCATCGGCATCTCGTGACCATTCAATACCAAGAGACCTCGCGGGAAGCTTCGGGATGAGGGATGAGGGGTATCACAAGATTTTCTTCTGTTTTTTTGTTCGTTTTCTCCAGTGTCTAAGCCGGCTCACTGCCCAATCCCGCTTTTACCAGTCTCTCCTCCATCTCTTACCACCTGGTTACCCTATCACGGGTTTCACAGGCAACCCCATCCCATCCCATCTCATCTCATCCCATTCTATGGGCATCTAAGCCCTAGTAACCGTAGTCCCATCCGCAGGCTCCAACAGCTCCCAACGGCAGACAATGTTGTTGGACTTAAACTCCTCAATGATCTTCTGGGCAATAGTCTCAAAGTTTTCCGTCGCCAGCGCCAAGATGGTCGGCCCGGCACCGGACAGGCACACGCCCAAAAGACCGGGCTGCGTGGCGGGCGTCATGGACTCGACGATCTTGGTCAGACCGGGAATCAAAACCTGGCGGTACGGCTGGTGCAGCTTGTCCTGCATGGCCAGGTTGATGAGCTCCGGGTCAGGAGGCGATTGGCCAAGGGCGACGGGGAGGAGGGCTATCCTTTGGAGATTGAAGGTCTAGTTGTAAAAAGTCAGTGGTTTGGTTGGTTGATAGTGAGATAAAAGAAGTAGGAAAGACGTACAACATCCGCACGGGGATACTCGGCGGGAAGAACCTCGCGGGCCTTGGCGGTGGGAACCTCGAATTCGGGAATGATGGCCACGGCCTTGATTTCGGGAGCCCAGGGGAACTTGATGTGGTGGCCGATGCCGTGGGGAGGCGAAGGGGGCTTGACGCCCGTGTCGACACCGCCGGCGGGGGCGGGGAGGACCTCACTGAGGGGAATCTCAGTGCGGGCGGTCTCCTCGGGGGTGAGGGGCTTGAGGTAGGTGCCGACAAAGCCACCGAAGAGGGCGGCGCCGACGTTGTCGGGGTGGCGCTCTGCAATTTTTGTCAGTGTTTGTTGCTCAAAGTGAGTGAGAGTATAAGTGACTCACCAATCATGAGGCAGTAGTCAAAGAGACGCTCGGGAGTGAGGTCGTGCAGACCGCCGACCTCCTTGCCGAGCTGGACACCGGCGACGACAGCGGCGCCGGAGGAACCCAGACCTCTTCCGAGGGGGATGGGGTTCTTGATGTGCACATGAGTCTCGACGGGGAAGCTGCGCTGGTCGTTGCAGCGGAGGACGTAGAGAGCAACACGGGTGATAAGGTTAACCTCGGGATCCAGGCTGATATCCTCCTCGCCCTGGCCCTCGTAGGTGATGCGGCAGTTCAGCGGCTTGTCCGAAGTCGTCTTGGAGCGGTCGATGGTGACATGGAGCTCCAGGTACATGGACAAGGCCAGGCCGATGACGTCGAAGCCGGGGCCGATGTTGGCGCTCGAGCAGGGCGTCTTGATGACGAACTTTTCGATCTGCTGGGAAGAGGCCATTGTGTCTGGAGTGAAAGTGTGGTTTACTACTAGGGGTTGAACCCAGTGGTGATAGTTTCACAGAAAGAAACCAACGGGAGATGGATGAACAGAGTAAACAATCGGCCTGCCTATGCCAAGAAACACAAATGCTCTCTTTTGTGAGAATGCGTCACCTTCACTGAAATTTTGTTGAATTTCAATTGATTTCCGTTTCTGGAGGACGGAGTGAGGGTGCCCCGATTACGGAGCGGAGCCCGGCGGGCAGTGGACAATGACTCCCCTCTACAGTGTCCACTTGGCGTTATGGAGCGCTGGGGGCTCCACCTTTTAGGGTTCGATCCACTAGTTTAAACCCCTGACTTGTCTGCTTCTTTTGCGTTTCAAGTCAAGACAGTCATCAAGGTTCTTCTTCGCTCGAGTCAACATCAATGTTACCATAGTAACGAGGACTCATACATCCGACAACAAGTGTTTCGATTGACTAGGGCCAGGTGTTTCGACAGCCACTTGTCCTTCGATGAACTTGCTTTGCCTGCGCCAAGATAGAGTGTTCCAAGCGGTACCTATTCAAAGACCTTTAAGGAAAACATGACGCTTGTGATTATACATATCATTTTACGAGTTAATCAAGATCAGTGCGATAAGGATTGCTTGCCGTTGGCGGTTCACGTTCCAGTCCCAATAGTAAGCTTCGGCGTACAACTTGACAGGGCTCTCAATGTCTTTTGATCTGACAATTCCTCGAGGTAAATAACACAACCAGTTTTTCCCATTACGGTGTTCCTCGAGGTCAACAGTTCTGAACTTTGCAACTAGGCAGAAGACTCCACACTTCGTCCGAATAGAAAGAATCAAGCATGATCTATCAAGGTTGCTTGACACTTACAAGGCTGAAGAACCCTTTTCGGCCGTTGCTGTAGCTACGGTGCCAAGAAGGCCATGTAAACATCAGCAACCGAGCTTGTGAAATGATTGTTTGCACATGAACATAGTATTGGTCTTTTAGTCTTTGTTTCCTGCTTCCTTCTAAATTTCACAGATCGTGCTGCTACCCGATACTGGTGGCACAGGTGCAGGCCCTCCTCAATCTTCTTTAAGGTTAATTTCTTTCATCCCTTTCCAAACACTCGTATCCTGCATCAGCAAGAGTATCGAAAGAGAAATTTTGAACACGTCTATATAACCACCTGGCAGTACTTTTTTTTTTTTTTTTTTTTTTTTCAAATAACCAAGACCTTTTCTATGGAGTAAATAGCTCACACTCCTGTTCCTCGGTGATCCACGAAGCTGTGCCCTCTGTCAACGTGGCGGTCCTGCCGAAACATTCGACAACGTCCTCCTCAGCCCGGCACCAGTAGCTCTCCTTTTAGGGTTGGGAGTAGTAATAGCCTTATCAGCTGTTTCAGACTCGCCACCGTGGGTAGCGCTTCCCGTAGACACGCTTGACAACGTCCTCTTCAACCGACTGCCGGTTCTCCTCCCCCTCGTAGTTGTGGCTGTTGCTGTCGCTGTTGTTGCAGTCGTAGTGACAATACCCGTAGTTTCCTTTCCCTTTCCACTTCCAGTTACAGGCTTCATATCCCGTAGTTTCTTGAGCATATCCACCCAAGCTGGATTATCCAACACTTTGTCTGGTAACGTCTCCTCAAGAGTCTCCGGTGGTCCTTCAGCCACTCGCTGTCTGTGCATACTTTGAGCAGCTCTGCCAAAGTTGGCTTTGCGTTTCCCGCGGGCTTGAATCTCCTTTTGCTTGGCTTCAAACCATTCTTGCGAGTGTCGTTGTGGCCAGTGTATCCGGGGATCGATGTGAGCGTAAAGTGGCTCGTCTGGGACCGGCGTTGGTGATTTCTTTGGCGGCGGACTGGCCTGTTTGCGTGGACTGAGCTGAGGTGTCGGGTTGGCTATGGGCTGGGGTATCAGTTTAGGTTTGGGCTGAGCTTGCGAGACCGACTCAAGTATGGGTTCCGGCTCTATATCTGGAGGAACCGGCTCTCGGCTTCGCACCTCTTGTTGTGACTTTTGACTCTGCTGTAACTCTGTCCTCTTCGCCTGGGGCTCCTGCTGTGGCGGCTCTGGAACTGATGCCGGTTCCGGTGGAGGGCCTGATTCTACTTGCGGCTCCGGCTCAAGCTGTTCTTCGGAATCAGACTCAGAATCTGATATTATGATGGGCTCATGTAAATTGGTCACTATGGGTCGTGGCCTGGGCTGAGGTTGTCGGGGTTTCTGTGGAGGCAGTGGTCTATGTTGCCCAACTGTTTGATTTGGATTACTTTGAACCGTCGATCCCTGTGGTAGAACTTGACTGCGAAGATCTGGGAGGGACTCTGTGGTATTTGATTGAGTTAATTCGGCCCCATTCGCGCTAAGATGAGCGGACATAGACCCTCGTATCAGCCCTGCTGGAGGGTTATAGCCCGCGAGGTCGAATGCACTTCTGGCATAATGTACCATAAGTCTATCAGCCATAGACATGTAATTACTGCTCTGACCGGTTGGCATTATAACTTGTACGTTTGAAATGCCTCCAGATGAATTCTGCTGATGAGTGGCAGGAGGAAGATTGTTCTGCGGCCCTGGATCCTGAGCGGGGATCGGACCTTTCATAGGTTGTTGGGGAGCATGCACAGCCGAGCCACTGCAGGCCACATCTTGCATCTCTTCCGAAAATCTCAGCTGTCGTGCAAGTTCTGCTATCCTGCTCGGTGGGAGCCGTGGGTTTGACGATTGTGTAGAACCATTTTGGCGCTCAGCCGGTGGTTGCTTTTCAGCCGCCAGACAAGGGGCGTCGATTGCCATGTTGGCGGGATTCGTAGACACTTGGACTTTGGTCTCTGATTGAGGCTTGTCGCCAGAGTCAGAACCGCTGATACGACTACTGTCAACACCGGTGGAAGAAGGCGATAAACTCGAGCTCTTGTTAGGTGGCCCACCGTTCGAATCTGACAAGGAACTGATGTTTGTGGTCAAACGTGGGGAGATAGAGTCTGCTGAGGTAGAAGAGAGGGTCTTAGGCTTGAGTGAAGAGGACCCAGTTGAAGCCAAGGTTAAGTTTTTCGCTAAGGAGGTAGAATCTTTATGCGTGCTGGGTCCAGGTTTAGGAGTCCGTCGGTTCAGGTATGGGTCTTTGCCGGCAGTTTTGCGTCTAACAATGTTTCCCGGCAGAAGTTTGGACCTCGTGGTAGGAAAGGGCGAGGAACGGTTCTTCACCGGACCTGTCTCCAAAGAATTCGGTTTGCAGCCCTGTGCGCTTTGTCTAGCAACATCGGCAACTTCAGCCTCGCTGTTTGTCTGGGCTGGTTTTCCGGCGCCACCTTGACCATCAACCGAATGTGAAGTGATGGATGACTGAGACAATGAGGATGGATGTCCTGATGACTTCAATGAAGTAGCAGCTGCGTCAGGTTTCTGGGAGGCAGAAGTGACCAGGTCATCGGGTAGTGGCACTGGAAAAGACTTGAGATGCTGGGCACAGAAGATATTGACCGAAGGTGCCTCGCATTGCGGAATAGAGCAGGGGATAAGACGGGCAGGCTGAGTGTTGTCGGTTGAGGAAGAGGAGACAGAGTAGCCCATCGCTGAGGAGGGCCTTCTGGGGAGACCGACGGTGGAGGTGGTGGAGAGACGGAGTGAGGTGGTTGACGAGGCTGAACGTAGAGAGAATGACGACCTGGCATGGTAATGATGGCGTCGTGCGGCCTCTTGGCTATCCACTACACAGCGATGACATGTCCAGTCACTGTATCATAGTAGTGGATGGTCAGTATACCCAAAGAATAGAGACAATCAAAGAAAATAGCGCGGTGGACAGTTAGTCTGTTCTTTGGACATTGGCGGGTGGACTGTCGACATCTGTAACTGAGTGCATGCTGAGGTTGTCTTGGAAGCTAAACTGTGAACTTGTTGAAGGTGAGAGACGACTTGGAATGGCTATGGTGATTGTTGTCTGTTGTGCAAACCCGCCGCCACAGGCAGAGAGGAAAGAACAAAATAGAAACTGAAGTGTGGAAGAGGCAGATGGAAGCTTTGATTGGCTACGAGTGGGCCCGCCCCAACTTTACCATTTTCTCCTTTCTGTCAAGAAGTACAGACCAGTATCTGATGTGTTGGTAGTCACCTCTTTTCTGACATTTTTGAAACTAGTTCCATGTTGACTGCAGTGACGATGAAGAGGTGCTTGCGAGTTCAGAGAAGGAGGGAATTTGAAGTTGTGCGTGAGTGAGGGATGACGGGCATGATATGAAGCACAGAAAAGAGAATGAGAATATGAGAGAAAATAGCAACCTACGTTGACCGGGTGGGGTGTGGAATATGGCATGCGGAATGATAACTTCTATCACAACTGATGCATCGGAATAATGGTCTTGTAATACTGGCTTCCTTTTTGCAGTATCTGCAACGAGACGGCATCGATCAGGTCGTGCCTAGGAAAGTCCGAGGCGCCAGCTGTGGTCGCCCTGGGCTGTATCAATGTACGAGTTATAACGTTTGGTCTAGACGTCTGCAAGGGGATATTCAGAGTAAGCGGGATGTATAAGCCGTCCTATGACAGACAGTCCAAAGACTTTGGTTAGCAGGCCAATCCCAGCGTGTGAAGCACGAAAACAAAAGTCTCGGTAGGCCAAGAACACCATATAAGGGGCGGTTTTGGTATAGTCCTCGTGATAGGACAACCAAGGCAACTTGCGTCTCAGGTCTTTTCAGTTTTTCCAAAGAGTCCTCATCCAGGCCAGCCACAACGGTTTCATGATTCTGAGGTATCGAGGATGAGAAGACCACGATCGAGATCGAGTACTCTTTCCATGTCTTTCCTGTCCCCCACTGCCTTTGGCCCGGCTTCATAGAGCACTTGAAAGCCAGGCTCCTGGAAAGTGGAAGTAGCCTCTGTCAACAGAGACTCAGAGAGCTCCGGACAGGCAACTATCAGATGTATCCAACCGCCAAGCATGTCGTGCTGCCGATAGTCTCAGAACAGCACGAGGAGTGGGCAAAAGAATTGGCAGCGGACGCACACTCACAAAGAGTGAGTGAGGCGCGAGAATCCCCATTGTACCAGCAGAACCATGACCCCAGAAGTGCTATCGGTCGTCGGACCTTTTACCAAATGCTCATCATAAACGCTGCCGTGTGAAGTGAGAGGGTGAGTTGGAGTGAGGCAAGCTTACCTGATGTGAGATACACGGGAATGCTCTCGCTGTACCAGTAAAGCAGTCAATGGCAGGGTACACATCAACACCAGAGCTTCCCTGGGGACTCAACCCAGTCTCAACCTTGCGTCTCTCCCGCTTGAGTAACCAAACCCCGCCTGCCGGATCCCGGAGTGCCATCCAGCGCTTCTGGAGAAGCTTGCTTGCCTAGGCCATGTGAGGAAGCAGCATCGATGTTGTTGACCATCGACCAGAGACCCGGCGATCGCAGAGGCAGGGCTGAAGACTTGTGGTGTGTTAAGGAAGCTTGCTGGTCATGAATGGGCACTTTGATGTAATGATAAAAACAAAAGGAAGCGTAGGACGTTGTCAGTGGAGGAAAGATGACGACGGCGGGGATGGAAAGACAATGTGGGTGTGGAGTGTGGCCCAAAAGTTACAGTAAATTCTACCATAGTGGAGCCCAACTTCCCATAAAATTCCCCGGCCTCTCCTTCCCGAACCCCCAACGTCACGGCAACGGGCAACACCCGCCGCTAAAAAGTGTGAATCGTGCACGGACCTTTAACCACCGAGATGTCGATGGAGGCTGAGTGCTAGGGGCCACCCTGGCCTACAAGCTCCCTGTAGCTCGCTAGCGTCGTGTTTGAGGTGATCAATCCACTTCCAGAGCGGCGCTGCCTGCAGGGGATTCCCGTCGCGATAACTTGTCCTTGAACAAGTGCTTTGTCGCAACTTGCATGCCACCGCCCCTTTTCCCGACTCGACTCTCCAGACGTCCAGATATCTTACTATACGGATTCAGTGACGAGTAAAGGCAAGGCCCCGGCCATGGACTTCCTCAAATCGGCTGTCGCGTCAGCCATCGCAAAGGGGCCTCCATTCCCCTATAACTTTGGCGACAAGGTCGATTTCGACCCCTCCATCTGGACCCTTTACAACGGAACTCGACGCGTATGTGCCCGCCCTTGTTACGCCCTCCTTCTGCTACCCGAGGCACACAAGAAATTCGCCAGCTAATCCCTATACTGTTTCCAGGAGGACGGGTCCAACTGTAGCATCTTCTCCTTTGATGTCTCCGCCAACCGATCTGCGCTTCCCTTAGCCAAGAATGCGCTCAAGAAGCTACGAACACTACGACACCCTGGCGTCATCAAGGTGTTGGATACGGTCGAGGTAGGGCATCTTTGCCCATGGAACGTCGTGGTCGCTTAAGCTGAGCCTTGCGCAAAAGACAGACTCCTACATCTACATTGCCACTGAGCGGCTAGTTCCCCTGAGCTGGCACGTCAAGAGAAAGAGCCTCAGCCCGGAGACTGCGAAATGGGGTCTTTATAGCGTAGCGGTATGTTTGCCATGATTCTGGTTTGACTATGAGTATCGGCAGCTGACCCTGGATCTGCAGAAAACCCTCAAGTTCATCAACGGTGACGCATCCTCGATACATGGCAACCTCAAGGTCGCCTCGATATACACATCCGAGAGCGGCGAATGGAAGATTGGCGGCTTTGAAGTCCTGAGCAATGTCAAGGATGACGATGCTTTGATATACGTACGTCTTCAAAAATCGGTTCAGGCATTCTGGAGAACATGGAGCGCTAACGTGCCAAAATAGAGATACGGCAGTGTTGTGCCTGACTCGGGGAGGTACACTCCCCCTGAACTTGCAAACGGCGGATGGGATGTCATCAAGAAGAGCCCTCACCATGCGGTTGACTCGTACGACTTTGGTATCTTGATCTACGAGGTCTTCAACGGCAGTTTTATGGGTTCCGACCAACTAGGACAGACCAAGAGTATCCCGCCCAGCATGCAAGCGAGCTACAAGCGCCTCATCAACGCCAACCCCAAGGCCAGACTCAGCGCAGCCCACTTCCTCGAACAAGGACTAAGGAATGGATCCTTCTTCGACAGCCCATTGATCAAACTTACCGAGGGAGTTGACAACCTGGGAATAAAGTCGGAAACCGAACGCGAGGCCTTCCTGGAGGATCTCGACCAGCTCTCAGACGACTTCCCGGAAGATTTCTTCAAGATGAAGGTCCTACCCGAGCTACTCAAATCGGTGGAATTTGGCGGTGGTGGTCCCAAAGCCTTTGGAGTAGTGATGAAGATTGCAACAAAGCTGTCCAACGAAGACTTTGACACAAAGGTTACTCCTGTCGTGGTTCGCTTGTTCGGAAACCCCGATAGAGCGATCAGGGTATGTTTGCTAGACAACCTGTCGCTCATGATCGACAGACTACCACAAAAAGTGGTAAACGACAAGATCTTTCCGCAAATAGTAAGTCTCAGCCTTGTTATTGAGCCCATGTGCATAATGCTGGCACAAACAGAGCCTCGTGCAGTTGAAGGCTAACGGTAAACACTTTTAGGTTGCGGGTTTCACAGATGTTGCACCCATTGTGCGCGAACAAACACTCAAGTCCGTACTAGTCATCATCACCAAACTATCAGACCGTACCATCAACGGCGACCTCCTCAGATACCTCGCCAAAACTGCCAACGATGAACAACCCGGCATCCGTACCAACACGACAATCTGTCTCGGCAAGATTGCCAAGTACCTGGGAACTTCCAGCCGAGCCAAGGTCCTTATCGCCGCCTTCACTCGCTCTCTCCGCGACCCTTTCGTGCACGCCCGCAACGCCTCCCTGATGGCTCTCGCCGTAACAGTCGAGTATTTCTCCAGCGAAGACTGCGCCACACGCCTAATACCCGCCGTCTCCCCCCTGCTTGTCGACAAGGAGAAGTTGATCCGTGACCAAGCCAACAAGACCATGGACGTCTACCTCCAACGTATCCGCAAAGCCCAACAAGACATGCCCGAGACCGTAATACCCCCTGAAACCGCCCAACCCCGTATGAGCACCCCTCAACCAGCCGAAGCCGCCACCGGCTCCAGCTCCGGGTCCGGCGCCGTAGCAGCCGCCTGGGCAGGCTGGGCCATCTCCAGCTTCACCAATAAGCTCTCCAGCGCGGCAGGGGAGATGCAACCCAACGGTTCTGGTGCACCATCGCCCGTTCCGAGCGCCAGCGGGCTATCCACGCCCACATCCACTACCACTCCCAAACGGCCCACCTCATCTTCTGTTTCGGCGCTACATAGACAAGCGCTCAAGTCCCCATCACCTTCCATTACTACTACTACTCCGTCAACAGGAGACTCCTTCTTTGCCGATCCCGAACCACAAGAAGACGATGCAGACGCTTGGGGCGACATGGGCGATATGGATGACGACGCTACAGCAGGCGCAGGAGACGATAACTGGGGCGCGAGCTCGGAACACTCACAACCAGCGTCGTCGTCAGCAAAGAGGTCAGTAAGCAGTAGTAGGAAACAGCCATTCGGCGGCGGCGGCGGCGGGGTTGTTGATGATGATGGGGAACCTGATTTCGCGGGGTGGTTGGCGGCGCAAGCGGAGAAGAAGAAGAATCCTTTGGGGGCAGCTGCTGCACCAAAGACTTTGCCCAAGGGACTGGCGAAGACGGGAAGCGCAAAGGTTGGACCACCAACAAGTACAAGTACGACAGCGGCGGTGAAGAAGACGTTGCCTATTAGTAAGAAGCCTGCTGCAACGGCGACTGTGAAGAAGATTGATACGAAGCCCAAGGTGGATGTGGATGGGGATGATGGGTGGGGGGATGGGTGGTAATCTGGCGGTGTCGAGAGGGGTGGGTGGTGGTTGGATCAGAGTTGGAGACGGAGGACAGCATTGATTGTGTTAAAATCTAAACTTAGTCTATAATGGATCAAGATGAAAGCGAACTGGCCCGAGTGGTTGGTTGGGTTATATCCAAATCTACGGATGATTGTCTAAAGTTGGGATCATATCTTTGACTCATCAGATTATATTAACCAGCTTTCATCCATCCATCGAATACCGTCCTGTCTTCCTGCCAGTCACGTATCACGCAACACAGTTTGATATCTTCAACGGTCTTTTACATGTGTTTTTGCCATGTATATCAACACTAAATACAACTTGGTATATGCAATCTTCTTCTCATCTATCCCGTCCATATACATTTTGTTTATGTCCGGTTCGGTCTTGATCCGTTCCCTTCTTTTTGGTAAAACCTGTACACCTTTTTTTCCCCCTGTACCTGCCTGTATCCACCCATGTCTTTTTTGTATGTGCATAAACGCTCATCAGGAAACATGTCAACTCGCTTCGGGATATCATCCTCCTCTTTTTTTTTGCTTCTTCTTCTTCTTCCTTTTACTTATCCTCTCCCTAGGTCCCCTTCTTCCACCGAACCGAAGTAGGTGCCACTTAGTTACCCTTGGCGAGCAAGTTCAGCGCGCTACCGGCCAGAATAAAGCCAGCCTGGTCCTTGGAAACCGCATGCTTGGTCTTGATCTCCACCACCTTGCCAGTGTCCTTCTTGGTAACCCGGAGGGAAACCTCGCCCTGGCCACCGTTCTTGAGCATCTCGTACAGACCGACAGTAGCCACCTCATCGCCAGCATCAATCAGATCGTAATCCTGCTCGTTGGCGAACGTCAAAGGCACGACACCCTGCTTCTTGAGGTTGGTCTCGTGGATTCTGGCAAAGGACTTGGTGACGATGATGCGGGCGCCCAGGTAACGGGGCTGAAGGGCAGCGTGCTCGCGCGCGGAGCCCTCGCCGTAGTTGTGCTCGGCGACGACGAGCCAGGGCTGGTTGCGCTGCTTCCACTGCTTGGCCAAGTCGGGAATGGTGTGCTTGGAGCCGTCGAGGTCGTAGGCGACGTTGACCTCGCCCGTGGCGGCGTTGACGGCCGTGTTGAGCGTGTTCTCCGAGATGTTGGGCAGGTGGCCCTTGTACTTGAGCCAGGGGCCGGCGGCGGAGATAGTGTCGGTTGTGCACTTGCCGGTGACCTTGACGAGCACGCGCAGGCCGGAGAGGTCCGAATCGGGGAAAGGCTCGAAGGGCTCGAGGAGGGCGAGACGCTCAGAGGAGGGCGAGATGGCGACTTCAACGTTGGGGTTGGGGGATCCCGACTGGACTTGGAAGACCTCGCGGCCGGCTTCGAAGGGGGTTTCGGGACCCTCGAGACCCTTGGGCGCGGGGAACTTGAATTCCTTGCCGTCGGGGGTGGTCAGGCTGTCGGTGATGGGGTTGAAGGTGGTGGAACCGGCGTAGGCCATGGCGGTGACGATTTCGGGCGAAGCGAGGAAGTTCATGGTCTCGAGGTTACCGTCGTTGCGACCGCGGAAGTTTCTGTTGTAGGAGGTAAGGATGGCGTTGGGAGTGCCCTTGGGGATATTATCCTGGCGCTTCCACTGGCCGATGCAGGGACCGCAGGCGTTAGAGAGGACAATACCACCAGCCTTCTCGAAAGTCTGAAGGGTGTTGTCTCTCTCAAGAGTGGCACGGATGCCCTCGGAACCGGGGGTAATGTAGAAGTCGGCAGCGGGCTTGATACCAGCCTGCTCGGCGGCCTTGACAATGCTCTCGCAACGGGTCATGTCCTCATAGGAGCTGTTAGTGCAGCTACCAATCAGACCAGCAGAAAGCTTCTCAGGCCACTTTTGCTCCTGGACAGTCTTCTTGAACTCGGAAAGAGGGATGGAAAGATCGGGAGTGAAGGGGCCGTTGATATGGGGCTCGAGCTTGGAAAGGTCGATCTCGATCAACTCGTCGTACTGGGCGCCCTCGTCGGCCTTGAACTTGAAGAACGAGTCCTGACCGGTGCCCTTGGTGAAGTTCTCGAAGTTCTTGGCGTCCTTATCGGCCTGCTCGCGGTTGGTGGCCTTGAGGTAGCGGCTGGAAGCCTCGGTGAAGGGGAAGATGGAGGTAGTGGCGCCAATCTCAGCACTGTAGCAACAAGGGTCAGTCAATACGTTCTAAATGGCGAGGGGGAAAGCTTCGAGAGGACTCACCCCATATTGCAGGCAGTGGCCATCGCTGGTAGGCTGAAGTTCTCCAGACCAGGGCCGAAGTACTCAACAATGTATCCAGTACCACCACGGACGGTAAGACGGCCGGTAAGGTGAAGAATAACATCCTTGGCGCTGACCCAGTCGTTGAGCTTGCCAGTCAGGCGAACACCGAGGATCTTGGGGGCCTTGAGCTCCCAGGGAGCACCAACGAGGGCCTCAACAGCATCAGCACCGCCGACACCGATAGTAATGGTAGTCAAACCACCAGCGTTGGGAGAGTGGCTGTCGGTTCCGAGCATCATGAGACCGGGGACAGCGTAGTTCTCGAGGACGGTCTGGTGAATGATACCAGCACCGGGAGGCCAAAAGTCAATACCGTACTTCTTGCCAGCCGACTCGAGGAAGTCGAAAACCTCGTTGTTGGTGGCAATACCGGCCTTCAAGTCCTCATCGGCACCCTTGGATCCAACAATCAAGTGGTCGCAGTGAATACTGGCAGGAATAACGGGCTGGGGGAGGTTGCAAGTCATGAACTGCAGGAGAGCCATCTGGGCAGAGGCATCCTGCATGTTCACACGGTCGGGCTTGAGCTTGAGGTTGGCCTTGCCGCGGATGTCACGGCCGCCGTTGGTGTTGGAGAGGAGCGACTCTTCGACATTGTCGAGGTGGGAGTAGAGGATCTTCTCGGCCAGGGTCAGGCGCTGCGAACCCAGCACGCGGCGGACCTCGGAATACTTGTTGTAGAGGGTCTCATATCTGGGAGGAAGAACGCCGGTGTTGTTGGAGGAGGTGGACGAAAAGGAGCGGGCCGAAGCGCATGCGACGCGCGAGGGGAGCTGCTTGGCTTGAATTGCCCGCTACGAGAAAGGACGACTTGTTAGCGCTGGTGAGTCACTAAATAGCCCTTTATTTTGTACAGGGTTAAGCCTCGGGGGAAATGGCCTACCTTCAGGGCAGCGCCTGAGCGACTGGCGAGATCAATTGACCTCATGGTGACAGACTGTACAGGAGGGAAACTTGGTTGTTTGGAGGAAGAAAAGAGGAGAGAAAACTGAAGTTGCCGGTTACACCATCTTCACTTGGTCCGAATTACGGAGCCATTCCACTTCCACTTGTGAGCCACCCAAACAGCAAATCCGGGGATTGCGGTACATACACTACACTACATACCGGTACGCTAACTGCCTTTTTGTCCAATAATATCCCGCGATTTTCAGTGAATGCAACTTTTTTTGTCTTTATTCCAATTCTGAGTTCGGGGATGCCCAAGTCCTCAAAAGTTCCGGATCGCTAGTAAAACCCTCCAGGCCGGCAGTACCCTTGAACCAATGTTGACTTTGAATCCGCCAAGCCGGGGCGTACACATACAGTTGATCCACCTTTTGACATTTTAAGCCAATCATGACTCGTATGTTCCTAATCGATTTTCTCAGTCAGGGACTTCGGCCGAGCTTTCATCTTGAATTGTTCTTATATCCGACGGAAGTGTAGTCTATATAGTATATAGCAATACTTATTGCTACTACCAAGTACGTATTATGAAAAGACGTGGCGGGCGTACTTGGGAATTCATGTCGTTGTGTGATTTTCCACTCTAAAAACATTACTTGCATAACCATAAAACGCCATTGCCATAGCCGATTCTACTAAACAACCCGCCAGTCGCTCTCAAAAAGAATATCCGGGGAAAATAACACATACAAGATGCCCCTGCCATGACACTGCACTTTGCAGCTTCATTTCCTCTTACATCGACAGCCCATCATAGAGACGTAAAAATTGACATCTTTCCGCAGCCGCCCTACACTTCAGCCGTGTCGCAAATAGTCGCCGTCTCCTCAGCCTCATCCAAAAGTTCCCACTAGCGAGCTTCGGAATAATCGTTGAGAGCGACGCATACAATACCGCGGTGATGGCCGTTGTACTGTCTGATAACAAGCTGCGTGTGTAACTCCCATAGCCGCGCATAATGATCGCTGCAGGCAGTTACCAGGTAGGCACTATCAGCGCTGAAGGCACAGTCCCATACCCAACGCTGGTGCTCCTTGAGAGTGGCCTCGAGAGGGAACGCCTGCGGTTCCGAATCGGCCGTGGCAGGTTCCATTTCCCTGACTTCCCAGATTCTGGCCGTATGGTCGGCGCTACACGTTGCGAGCTTCTTGACATCGGGCGAGAGTAGGATGCGTGTGATGCTTTCCTTGTGTGCGGAAAAGTGGGTGAGGGGAATCAGCTGGGTGCGGTCATAGGCCTGGATGAGTTGCCAAACGAATACATTGCCCTGGCAGACAGAAAGGAGGTGTCAGTATCGGGAAGATACAGCAAGGAATGACTCGGTGGAGAGAAAACTTACAGCAGTGTTGGCCGCACAAAGAAGTGTACCGTCACTGGCAACCGTGACACTTGTCACTGAAACATCCTCCTCGGGGATTAGCTGGTGCGAGCAAGTGTTCTCGGCCAGATCCCACAGTCGGATGCTTCCGGCGCGGTCGCAGCTGATGATCTCTCCCTGATTAGGGTGGATGACAACGTCGTTTGCCGGAGAGCCGTGGTTGTAGCTTCGCTGGATGGTTCCGGTGCGGGTTTCCCAAATCTTGACCGTTCCGTCCTCCGAGCTTGTTACCATCCACTTGCCCTCGCAGTGGAAGGCCACGCCGGTCACATTGCCGGTGTGGCCCTGGAAGGTCATGAGGGCCTGCGGGTTTGTGGAACGAATGTCAAAGAGTTTGACATCGCGGTGGCCGGCAGCGGCGAGGTATCGCTTGTCAGGGGATATGCAAAGACGGTTCACTTGAGACTCGGGGTGTTGGATGGTGCGCGAGCAGATTCCTGAGAGCGCCTCCCAGAACCTGATGGTGTGGTCGTAACCAGCTGTAAAGGGCAAAGCGAAGGGTCAGCAGCTGGTCCAATTTGGGAGAAGGGAGGAACTGGATCAAGGGGATGGGGCATTACTGCGTCGGCAAGGTAGACCGGGACAAGACAAGCCATACCTGTGCAAAGGATAACCGACATGGTAGAGGTAGCGACTGCGACGGGGATACAGAGGCTATGATTCCATAGTCCACAGACACTCTTCTACTGCACCGGTACTTGGGCAGTCGGTAACAGACAACGAACGCGTCGATATGGGAAGAAGAGATGTGGATCACAGGAGAACTAGTTATATCGCAATGGCCCGAATTGAAATTGATGTCAACAACGGAGCTGAGGCCCTGATGATCGCGGGACGGCACTGGACCGCACCGATTGATACCTAGCAGCGGATAGTAGCGCTGCATGGACAAGACGGGCAGGGCGGCGGGGCAGGCAACACAACGAAGAGACCTACGGACGGGATGAAGTGGAGTGGACTTAAGGTTGCCCCACAGGGCAGTGGAGGGACAAACGGTGGGGTCCGGGTCAAGTTGAAGTGGATGCAATTGCCTGCCGGCACCGGCACTCACTAACACATGCTCGACCAACCAGCGACGGAAAAGCCCAAGCGATTCCGTTTCCCAACTTCAACTTTCCTTCCTCGCTTCAAAGCACAACTTCAGCATCAACTTCTACAGCAAGACATTGATGAATATTTACTATACATGTACATCTTCTCTTTGCTCAAGACTAGGAAACCACGTATAACGCACTTCCATTTTCCTCCTCGCCTGTTATATGACCCAGTGATAGCACCATCTCAAGGTCAGCATATTGTCCTCCTTCTCAGGGCCTCTGTTCCCCTCGTCGTCCAGCACGCACACACTCGGTTTCTCTTGTGATGCCGCGAAACACCATGTACAAGGACACCCGCCCCATTCCATCTGATGCCGTCATTAGCCATACCATATCCGTCTTGGATGTGCTACTTTGACACCCCCGGACCTCGCACTCATTGGTGAGGTCTACGGCAAATCCGAGTACCAGATGTGTTGTTTCCCTTGCTTCCCGTTTCCCGTCCCCCGCCTCCCAGGTTGGCCTGTGATAGAGTGTCCTGTACGTCCGGCGATATCCGTTCAGTGGCCTACTAGAGGTAGTTAGTATTCACTCTCTGTTGGTCAACATCTGCTGGGATCTGCAACTTTAAGCGCGAGTGGGCCCTGCTTATGTACCACCGACAACCTATACAGTCCTGCTTAGTCCGTGGACAGTCTTCTTGTAAGTTGCCATCGATTAACACCTGAGAGCACGAGTGGAGGCTGACCTGTCTAGGTTCCTTTTCTCCTTTTCCCTGCGCAACCGAGCCCCGGCCTGACGAACACTCTACACAAGTCACCACCGATCTCAAACTCCATAATCGGCTGTTTGCGTCTCAGAACCCGTCTTCGCAGCAGACGTCCACCTGTTGGAGCCTTTCTCGGTGCCCGAGTGTGGTACGGGTACCCGATTCCGCCAAAGTCTTCGGATTCTTCCGGTTATCAGCATGAACAACCAACTTCCACAGGGCACCATTCCCGCACTGGACTTTTATTTGCCCGATCAACTCCTCTCAGCGACCTGCGTCATGTCGCCCGCCATGGCTGTGCTACCTGTCGGTTTCGTCCCATGTCCGAACTTGGGATGAATCCAAGCTGGCCCGCATCTCGAGAAGCACACATGCTCGGTTTCCGTTCCGAACTCAACCTTCGGACTTGCGGTGAGGCCAAACCTCAGGTAGCACTCGGAACAGCGTGACTGGACGCTTTTTGTTTCCCATACAAGGCGAACCGAGGATTCGGGTGTTGGGCAGCACAGCGCTGGTCACTCGGGTGGATGCCCGATCTCACCGGGAGCACAGCTGGCCACCGGGTCGTACAAGGAGCGGCTCTCCACCCACAAGCTTGTGCTTCCTCGAGCTTCACCTCTACCACAGAGCCTTGGAACCTGTTAGCCTTGGGTTCTTGAACGGCGGCGAATCCATCTTACCCGTCTCTATCAGCAAATTGGCCCTTCATCTCCTGCAAAACTACCGGTGGTGCAAGCAACCGATATCAAAGAACTGCATGGTGGTATGCATGCATGGTACCGTTTCCTCACGCGATCACCCAGCAAGGCCCGATGAACCATTTCGTATCCCCTTGGAATGAACCAAGGCACGGGAATGCGGCTGGTAGCAGCAGCGTTGACATGGGTGGCACTGAGCCATCTAGAACGACAGGTGGTAACATGTCTAAGCAGAATCCGATGACCTTCTCGGCCCCAACCGAGGGTTGAAATAGTATTCGGTTGAGACGGAATGAGCTGAGCGAATGATTCCTTTCCGACCTATTCCTTCTTCGTGGCCACGCTGCAGTCCCGAGACTGCAACCTGACGCACGCAACGCGACGCAGCGCAATGCCAGATAAATGCCAGATCAACTGATCTGAAGCCAACAAAAAAGTCTTGTGCGGCCTCTGGACACCTGCAGAGAAGAAAAGGGGAAAGGGAAAAAGAGGGAAAACAAAAACCGGAAACCAAACACCCAAACCCCTGAACCCTTGAAAATGGAAAACAAAAAGATATCAAACATTCAAGACCCTGACTAAAGCACAACCCCCAAACACCTTGCCCAACACAACATAACCTTGTACTCCTGTCTTTAGCCCAACGTCAGCACAACCGTGACTTGTTGTTTGTGCATCCCGATACCTTCAGCATCCTTCGCTCCACATCACACTAGGCGGCGCGTCCGTGTCCATGAGATGTTGGTGCCCAGCCACCATGCTGACCACATCTCCCATCGCGCCCATCATTAAATCCACCACTGCCTCCAGAGCCACCAGGAGCGGCACCGCTTAATGGGTATGACGATGTGGAACGTGCGCCGTGAGGGCACTGTCTGTAGACCATGCCATCGACACAACTTCCACACCACCTAAGTATCGTCAGCAACGAGTCCAGGGCTGTGATAAATACCGATGGGATAATACTAACTGGCGCATACTGCCGGCACAAGCTTCGCAAGTGAACACTTGTAGCATCTGACCGCCGATCAAAGGGCATCCGCAGGTTTCAGGGATGGGCTGGTGGCCAGTCATGATGATAAACTTTTGTTGGTGGCAAGATAGTATCGATTTTGCGAGGTCGATGGCGAGTTGTTTACTCAGTGGTAAGGAGGATGGTAGTAAGATCAGATTATCGTGTCAGACTGAAGACTAACGGGACAGACAAAGCACGACGTTGGATGAGCGGAGTTCTTATACTTATGAACCTCTGCACGCACTCGAGGTCTCCAGATACAAACGATTATGACTTACACGGAGACACCACCTCACCGCTAGAGCCCAAACTTTGCGCCATATCCTGACGTAGCATTTTCTACGCAGGTGTTTGGCATTCCTATCCCATATCCGAAGCCGTTCCAGAGGGGTCTGCTGATCGACGTGGTTGACCGGTGATGATGCCGCTACTCTGGGATGGAGGGTATGTTGGACCATCAACGCCCTTTGATCGGTGCCATGGCACTCCCAAGCATATCGCGGTTGGGCCGAGGGCACACAAGAGACCGGCCCATGTTGCCAGCGAAGTAAGCCTACCCAGGTTCGACCCTGTATCAGAAACTACCCTAGCTCCCTTTCTGGAAGACGTCTCCCGCCTTGTCTCGGTTGTGGTCATCCTGTTCTTTGCAGCAGCAACATGGACATCCATCCTCGAGAGATTACCCCAAGCAAGATGCACTATCTTGCCGAGTCCGCGATCCCGCACATTGCATTGGACGCTGCAGCTACCCGGCTCTGAGCTGTGCATCGAATGGCAATAAAACTTTACTACGGTCCTGATTGGAAAAGTCCATAGTCCGGCTTACTTGTGTCGACATACTGAGTTTCTCTTGGCCTGGACTACAATAATAGCGGATGCGTGCATACACTTCCTCCAGTAGCACGCAGAAAGGCGGGCAAAGAGCGCCCAATAGACCAACTTCTGCTACCTGACCGGGAACTCCATTACCTGCCTACGACAAGGACTCACAATGCTCCCCCCATCAACCTATTCTATATCAGTACAGTGAGAAGTCCTTCGGGCTCAAACTGTCCACATGTGGCTTCACCTCCAAGATATGAGACAACACCAAGTCGACACATCAGGATACTGTCTCAGCAAGCACATCATCCACCCCTCATGACGCACCTACCAGTAAGGTCGGCTTATACCGAATCCAGCGGATAAAGTCACTTATAGTTCGGATAGCAAGGCCGGATATTGCCCCAACCTGCTCCTACTTATTCGTTCCCCGCCATTCCTTTAGGCAATACTTTACATTCTCTTCCTGTTTCCTGGTTGGTCATACCATCGAAGTATCCAAGGCCCCTCAAAACATGATGTCCTGTTTCCCACGGGTCCGCCTTTCGAGATTTCATCGATCATTCGAGGAGAGTGGTGCGACCAATCAGACTATACTCGAAACCTCCCCATCAAGAATCTGCGCTTTCGCAGGTCTTTGCGGTTTCCTTACTATTCAACGAGAGCTTAAGGATGAAACTTTCACGGTTCTCGATGCAGGGTTAACACACCGATCAATTTGTGACAAGTCAAGTGTCACTTAGCCATACATGTGTGCGTCGACATAGACGCTTCGTCATGTGCCGGTCACATCACTCGTCAGTGAGGTCAAGAGCTAGACCATCATCAACTGCCACCCCAGTATCCTCGCTACGCCTGCATTATCTCACTTGGCTTTTATGTGGGGTGCGCAACACTGACAACCCATTGTCTCTAACAGAGTAAAGACTAAGGAGCTTCAAAGGATACCTGGCCCTGGTGTAAGAGCCGCTTGTTACACCTGTTTCAGTTATTACGCTACTCCGTCAGACTTCTCAAACAAGCAAGCTTGCCTGGTATAGTGAGCTCCGCCGTTGAATCGCTCTTTCGAGTTTACTAGCTAGCTCTTCTAAGGATTAAGTACTAATATGGTCAATCCATTTTGGTCAAGCGTTCGGATGATGGTATGTTATCTAGTCTTGATCGGTTCTCTGTATGATTATACCGATTGGGCGGGAAAGACCTTCCTTATCGAAGTTCAAGCGCGGAAGTATGCTACAACGAGGATAACCACATATTTTAGGGCGCTTAGCACAAGAGGTGGGAATAGGAACATGGGGCTGAACTGGACCAAGGTTTTTTAAACGGATGCATACTCAGCACATTCTAGCCTTGGCGGTCACCATTCCTCACTCACCATTCATCTCTGTCCGTTCTTGAAGGAATATCTTGGCAGTTTCGGCTACCTGCCGAACAGAAAGAAATACTCGACATGCGGTTGGCGGCACAGCTCACCGGTCAACCTTGCGAGTTCTCATGCTCTCATTCCCCGACTTCGTGTGCAGTACCCTACAGTGTGTGGGCGCGACTCCGAAATCCATTACAGGAAAAGGCCGACAGACAGCCTATAGAGTCTGGGCGCTGCCCTACGTTGATTAAAATGGCGGATTCGAGGGAAGGGCGGGAAGGAAAAAGGAAGGAAAAGCCGCAGACTCAAATGCCGTGGTGTTATGACATCTATAGTGTCGAAAGGGGAAAACTTCAGAATCAACGACGATGGGTATTATCGACGACTTGTGGCTACAGTAAGACTCCATTCTACTCTCACCGTTACTTACCATACACTGCCATTGTTTTATGCTCCGCCCATTTGTCTCCTCATTCTGCAACAACGATCCCCTTCTTCTCTTTTACATTCAATACCCTTCACCTGAAAAAGCAAAGAGACCAGCTGCTGCATCTTATACAGTGAACATCTGCGCATTGTGTGCATGTAGCTAGTACAATAGCTGTCTTATGTGCGGCATGAAGAGAAAGCTATCTCTTTCCTACGTCAAGCACTGTGTGCGGAACCTCAACTCCAAGACATCGGCGGCGGCACGAATCAAGGCCTCGGCCAGCACCTGTGGGCTTGGAGTTGAAATGTTTCAGGTGATAAGGAGACAATTGGATGGGATCGATGGAAATTGCAAAAAAAAAGAGTTTCTTCCTGCGCCTTTTATTCAGCTCTTCCAATATGCGCAGAGTAATTAACTTCGTCTATAATCGAGTGAAAGAGGATTAGGTACACTGAATGGAGAGACGAAACAACGGGGTAGTGTCCTGAAGGACGGGCTTCAAGTCACAGCAAGGCAATCTGGATGGATGATCTTCATGACTGACAAGGCTCAATCATGCAAGGCAAAGGCAACCACAAGGCGACCGCGCTCGACCGGTCTGCTCTGCATCAGCTATTATCTTCCGTCTTCATCTTTTTGCTCTGAGTAACAGCAAGCAGGAAAGGCGAGCGTTGGGCCTCAATTTAGTGTGGGGGGAGGACAAGAGACGGGTTGGAGCCAAAACTTCCATTCGCCTGGAGTCACTGGTGACTGGAACCGGGCTGACCGACTGGACCAGACTGGTTCGATTCGATTGAGCCATGCGACGATTGCAGAGTAGAGGTGGTTCGGGTGTCATGTCATGAGGCTGATCATCTGGTATGACATCGGGAATGGGGAGAAGCGGGTTGAAGCGCTGGAACCGCGGTTAATGCGGTTCTGTGATGGGTTGAGGTACGTATGTCTATCCGTCCGTACGTGCCAACTTGCAGCTACAATGCTTACACTTTGACACTCGACTATTTCCCTCAACCCCAGGCTGGGTGGGTAGTACACCCGTGCGGATGTTGGTTGATGGGTAGTCTAGGTAAGGGATGGATACATAAGATACCTAGGAAAGTATCGGACTGTGTGTTCATTTCACTTATGAACTGCTGCTGTCCTGACGGTCACTTCAACTTGGCCGTTTACCCGCACATTCCTACTGACTCAATAGTTACTCTACTCTATTAACTCTTGTTGCGGAATGTGGGGGAAAAAAAGAGCATATGGTCACAGCCTTACCTAGGGTATTCGAGTCGCAGGCTTTACCTCGACCTCCATCCCGTTCATCCAGTCCTGTCAGACCCTCCGGCAGATGTCCCTGTCCCATTGCCTTACTCCGGAAGGGAACCCGATGATAGCTACCTACCCAAATGCCCCATACATGCTGTGTACACCGATTTGTTCGTTTGGCTACATACTACACTCTCGCTGATTACCTATCCGTTCGGCATTCTCCATCGGGGGTGGAAATCAAAAGGAACGTTGCCAACCCTTACCCGCCCGTCGCCAAGCAGCTGATCAGATCAGAGATCGCGCTCAAACTCACCATTACCCGCCCTAGCTATCCGACCAGATCCCGACCAGGTCCCGACCAGGTCCTGGCCAGGGTCTGGAAAAAAATCCGAAAAAGGTCACAAGCCAAACTGCCTGCGTGCTTGCCTTACCTTCACCTGTTCAGCTGTGCTTGCCGCCGTAAGCACGACACATGGGCTGGAGCTACCTAGGAAGTAGGGAACTAGGGAAGTGCCTACGGCGGATGCTGTCTTCACTTCCGTCACTTCCGTCTAGAGTCGCAACCTGGTGAGCGGGTACGCTTATGGGTACCTAGGTATTTCCCTTGGCCTTATCCGATATGGAGATGGGTACCTAGGTATATCCGTGGCTTAGTGTGAGTAGTCCTGACTTAAATGGCCCGCCTGGGCCTTGATCTATGGTATCTATGTACTATCTTCGTCTTGAGAAAGTTCAATTCCGAAGCACGGAGAATGCCTACCTACCCCTAGGTAACCTCCTACTATCTCTACCTAGGAAGATCCCGTACCAGCTCTAGGTAGGCTTGTGTCAATGCTAGGTACCTACCCAAGGCGGGAGCCGCAGTGAAGTATGACGTTGACTGTTAGTTACCTAGGAATCTCAGACGCGGAGAAAAGCCATTCAGCAAGGCGACGTGTACGGGATGGAATCTCGCAAGCGGGCAGAGGGAGAAAGAAGCCTTATAGGAACATGTGGTGAACAGACATATGGAGATGAAGTGAAATAGCCCGAGTCAAGTGCTCCAGGTCCCGATCCACACGTTCGGCCTGTTCACTCCTCCGTTGAGACTCGGCCTATACCGGCTCCCGCCACGGATAAGAACCTGACTTTAGGATTTCATCTTTCAAGTGAGTCGTTCCCAAGCCATTGCCGCAGCTAGGTAAGTACATAGATCTCTCTCATCTTACGGCGCGTTATAGAGAACCCTCCTATTACCTCGATAATAACGGTTATTCGTCTCTCCTCCGAGTAGTAGTCCAGTGACTGCCGTTAAGTACAAAGAGGGTAGTAGTCAACTCTATCCCTCATAGTTCTTCCCAGGCAACAGAGTTTCACCATTTCCACAGCTGTCGTCGTCGCACTTGCAACAAAAGCTTTGTTGCTTCAAGAAACTTTTTTTTTTGCCCACCTCCACGTTCATAACAAAGGGAAGCCAAGAGGTTAGGTATGATTATTCGGTGAACGAGGTCCACCCCTCTCAAATAACGACCTGTATACCTTTCCCTATAGGTACCTACCTACCTACCTACCTACCTACATCTACCCTACAGCATTTACTCTTCTTGTCCTTGTTTCATGTTCATCTCTCTAAATGCCCTAAAATCGTCCTCGGTATATCCTTGATTCGCTGTAAGAAGAAATCCATTTAGTTTAGTCAATGTCAGAAGGGAGAGGTAGTTCGTTAGGAGTATCGGTACTAACTGTACGGCTCAAACTTGGCAAGCTCGTCCCATCGCTTGTTTTGCAGGTGGTCCGAGGCTGTGTGCAAGGTGCCTTGCGGGAGGTATATGCTGTGTTGGACGCCTTTGTCATCGGTGTAGACCATGTTGTTGGGTTGTGCTGTTTGGATGGGGGTATTCAAGGGCTTGGTTTCGGTCGCTGGTGGACTTGATTCCATGATGGGGTTATGTGAAAGCTCCTTAGCTTGGAGTCCTTGGAGTTCTGGGTTGGAAGCAGTTGGAAGCCGAGAGGGTAGAATTCGGACCAGTGGTGATATAGGTAGGGCGGCTCGAGGGCGGGGAGGTGGGCTTACTTAAGGTATACTTGCGTCGTGTACCGGTCGGGTGATCCTTCCTGCCTACCTAGTTGGATGCTTACTCTGCAATAGGTGCATGTCTCCTACACCTATAATCGTCTATAGACGTTACACAGTATAGCGAAATATCTCACTAGAATGGTTCGATGACGGTTATTGGATGAGAGGTAAGCAACAGTGAATATACCGTTGGTACATGAACTCTTTCTAACTTTAACCGAATCGCAAGCTTCTTAGACTTGATATCTTGTCAACTGGAAATGATCTATCAGTCTTCTTGAGCGAAATTCAACATACCTCGAGCACATTAGGTGATGATGTTTTCTAAGAAGCCAAAGGTATGCTTTCATTCATCTCATAAACTACCCAGCTACAGGTCTAACACGCAACAGCAAAACCACCAACTTGGTAACCTATCACAACTCAACACGCCGAAAGTGGTGTGAATATATCAAGCCTGTCCTCGACTGGACCCTACACCCTGCTCTTCACTGCTTATAGAGTCAGGGCAGGTCGCTTTTTACTTGCGTTACTGCTTTGCTTACCTACCACCAGTTCCCTTACAGCGTCAACGCCACCAACGAAAGATACCAAGGCTTAGGCGTTGTTGTTGTTGGCTAAAGTAGGTAAGGATGTTGGCAGCGCTCGCTAAGGGGTCGTCTAGATGTCATCGGTAGTGGGCCCGCGGTACTTGCTGGCCCATTTCGCCGCAAATTCCTCTGCGGGCAGATCTAGCAAGTCGGTCATGATCTGCATGCGTTCGGCCTCGGAGCCGGTGATGTAGTAGTCGTGCCCGTCGATGGTGGCTATGTTGATTGGGACCGTCTCGATGGGGGTGTTGAGCGACCCCGAGCTCGTCAAGACGTTGCAACCCAGGTCAGCGTTGTTGCATTTGCCGCTGTCGAACCGTCGCGGAGAGATGGGCCCTGCCGAGGCAAGCCAGGCGGTGGCAGTGAGGAGAGAGAGGCTCAGTTTGAGATGCATATTGAAGATGGTGTGGGTGCTATCAAGGTAGGCACGATGTGTTGGCGTGTGGTCTGGATGGATAGGAAGTCACAAACAGATAAAGATATGTCGACTGACAGTGGGATGGGAAGCTAGCTCTTATAGACTGGCAACTGAAGCACCTGTCTCGACGAACGCACCGCCCGAGCACGACCAGAAAGCGACCGAGTGTTGGCCGAAGCGCTACCACGTCACCGCTTTTGCCGCTGTGATAATCATCAAGTTTCGGGGGAATGTGTGCTGAAGGATTCATCTACGGATCTGTATGCACTATGAGTTACATGACATCACCCGTTCTAGACTACGTATGTAGTAGAGGTAGGTATCGTGGTAGGTGGAACTCCACGGACTAGGCTACAACGTAGGTTTCTTGTCAACGTCGTATTATCTCGTATACTTTGGGCAACAGAGTTCTTGTTCGATACTGATTGGTGGGCAAGGGTCACTGCTGTGCTCGTTGGATCTACAAAGTTGACCATCTGATTAGCGCACCCGAAATGCTGGGACTGGTGAAGTTATGGCTTCATGACTGCCTCCATACCCAAACTTCATGTGATTCTCCTAGTCCCTTGACGCCAGCAGGAAATTCTGCCGGCAGCAAACTCCCAAACCGACCCATCAATGTTGGCGAGCTATTTGAGCTACTTTTACCTCGCCTCGTACTCAGCGCGAATTCTGCAGCATTGGCTGATACTCAAGACGTTACTCTGAGTCATATTTAGGCCATAACCACCGAAAAGTACAGCCTGAAGCTTTTATCGAGTAACCTTGAGGAACTCTGAGCCAGAATCCCCCTGAAAGAGTTGGCACAAACATTCCGAGGCGCAATGCCCTTCACTCGGCAGCTTGGTTACAGATTTGTCTGGATCGATCCCCTGTAGGACTCTGTTGAAGACTGTGGTGTTATCGCCGTTGGGTTCAGGAAGATTTGCATGTTTGGCACAGATACTAATCTTCTGTCACAATGAGTAACGGGATATCCAGGGAGGAGACGAACAGGGAAATCACAATCGCGTTGAAGGGCTACGTGAGAAGGGGTGTATGGTCTGGCGAGAAGATGATGAAAATCGAGCCTTTCGAGAAGACATCGGAACGGCCCTGGCCGCCCTGGTTATTGATTATATTTGGAGCAAATGTCAACTTTGGTATGGGAATGGCCACCCACTGACGGGGACCTCTTGCTTTGTCTGCTGGTAATTTCACGAAGAAAACATCACAGATCCAAAGTATGAAGAGGAGAGATTGGTCTTAGCCTCAGCGCACGACAGAACTCATGATGGGAAACAGGGAAAATTTACAAACGAATGGGGTCTCGTATAACAAGACTATCCTGAACGGAGAGAGAATGAGCAAAATCATTGAAGGTGCAGAGGAGATGGTCACGACGATCGGCCGAGAACATTGACGGTTGGAATTCTAGTATGTTTGTTCTTTATGCCTTCCCAATTGTTTATTCTTTTTCATCTGAGTGAGTAATTTGATCCAAGAAAGAATTGTTAAGTACTCTTGCAAAGAGCACGTTGATGGAAGGTGTGTGTGTGAGTACACATCATGAGGTCTTCAGGATGGCAAGTGCTCCCCTTCGTGACTTCCTCCTCTGGAATTATCTGCACTTCTGGAGAATCTGTGCGTGCGGCGGGTTTCAGATGCAGTGCCACACAATCCTTCCCATGGTTCAATTGAATCCTTTCTCTTGCGTGTCTCCTTTTGCCTTCGCAAGGCTTTTTGGGCAAAGCCGTAGGCTTCGATCGCTGTTCGTGGCAACCATAAACCAAAACCCAACATCACCCTCCCCAGAGTTCCTCCATCTTTGGAGCATCAGTTCAACAATGCTGCGCTCCAAAAACGCCCCAAACACCGTCATGGGGCCACCACCCCCAAAGCGCCGACCAAACGAGCCCTTGCCCAATGGTACCAAGCGGCAGCAGCAGCGTACTTCTCCCAGGCTAGCCAACAACAAGAGGGTGACCGACAATGCTTCATCCTCGCGCCCTTCTGCTCCTCAGCCAAAGCCAGCTCAAACCTTCAAGGAGCGTCTCTTTTCTCGCCCACAGAAGAAGCGAAAGCCGACACCTGAGCCTGCAAAGGTCGATCTTCACTCCCGGCCCCAAACTACCATTGCCCCATTCTTCAAGAAGCTTCAAGCCGCATTTGGAGAAGAAACCCAGCCTGCTTCGAAGCAAAAGCAACAGCATAAACCACATGAAAAGAAATCAGATTACATCCGCGTTCCTCCTCCTCATCTAAAGCAGCAGCAGCAGCAGCCAACAGTCCAAACCCGCAAGAGAAAACGTGAATCCCCTGTCAAAGAAAGCAAACCCTCTTCTGAAACCGAAGACATGCTCGCCGAGCTCCGAGGTACGTAACTAACCACTCTCCACCCCTTTGCGATATCCAAGACCAAGTACACTGACAGCAATCCTACCCTCACCAACAGCCCACTACCTAACAGCCGCCACGAACCTCCACTCCCACGCGCTCACCTCCCTCACCAAAGCGCACTCCCTCGTCATCAAAAAGCTCGACGAGGGCATTGGCTCCTCCGAACAGAAATTTCTCCAAGACGTCGAGAAGCGCGCCTCCAGGCTCTCACTGCCGTTGTCCGAGTTTGTTATTCGCTCTGATCAGCGCGGGAGTGATGGTGTAATGAGGAGCGAAAAGCATGTGATCAGCGACTTGGTGAAGAAAGTTGAGAAAACGTTGGTGAAGGCAGAAATGGAATTGGAGGGGCTGTGGAGGGAGTGGGTGGAGAGTGAGAAGGAGATGGAGAGGGTTTTGGAGAACGTTTTGAAGGAGGTTGAAGATTTAAACACAGGCAAGAGCGGGAAGAAGGTGGATGGTGAGGGTGATGATCTGCCTGGGGCGAGCGGAGACGCTGGAAAGGCACTCGAAGCTGACAAGAGCGATGAGCGGGATATGTTGACTAAGTATGAGGAGGCCATCGAAGAGGAGGTTGAGAGGGCGGAGGAAGAAGTGACGAAGTTGACCCTTTCGACTTATCAGATGATGAAGGATCTTGAGAAGGTAAGGCTATTCCAACCATTCACTCCGTGACAAGTACTGACATCCTTTTCTCAGGATTACCGGAAGGCGATCATCCCGGATTTGCACCTCTTCTATACCTCCATCGAAGATGTTTGATGAAACTACTGCCATGTAAAAGCTTCATAGTTGGATGCAAGAAACGCGGCGGGTGGGGGGGGAACCCTCTTCACTAGGCGTGTCGTGTGAGTGCACTTACCAAGAAAGGGGCCATCTCAGTGTGCACATCCTGCTATGTTGATGTCGTGTCCAGCTGGATTTGTGCGGCTGCGAATCTTGACGAACCATCTAAAAGCAAATGGAATCGCATGCCCTCCAGCAACTGAACTGAGCGAGTAGTCAATGGGAGAGTAAATATCGCAACATGACACCAAAATCCCCTCTTTGTTGGAGTTTGTGATGACCAACTGGCACCCAGTCTTTGAATTTCTCTCGGGACCGTCTCGGTGAAACTGTCTAGCCCACATTGACAACATTGACAACATGCTACCTACCCAGATCCCCTCATCAAGGTCAAGCTCACAGTTATACTCCACAATCCACTATCCAAAGGTCGATCGCCATGGAACATCATCACATGTCACGGTCACTTGACACTGTTGTTTCTTACCTTCTTTCCATTTTTTTTGTTAGTATATGAAGCAAAACAAAGAGCGGTGTTTGGTAGCCATGATGGAGAATCGCATAATTGTCACCTGTATGTCCGCGTCTGGGATGGCCTTCCGGGCCTTCCGGAGGAGGTTGGGTGGGGGGAGAAGGAAACTTATAGGTGAAGAGGCGGTGATGATGCGATGGGTATATAGGCGTTTGGTGCAGTTCAGTCAGGTAGGATCTTAATTACTGTATAGGTAAACTCGCGGGGGGGTTGATTTTTAATTTGGTTTCAGGGAAATCAGGCATAGGTAGAGTAGTCTGTAAGAAAGGGTACTGCGGCAACATTCATGCCCACCAGACAGAAACTGTAGGTATGCACAAGACGGCAGCGATTTCGAATGTCTCCACCCCTCTCCAGTCCAGCGCTTCTCGAAAAGAACTTGAAAGGTTGGAAAGGGGCAGGGAGGGCATCAGAGAATTTGAATATGCAGTAAGTACTTCGGGGTAGTAGCATGTCTCATCCACGTATTGTGGAGGACATAAATTGCACATTTTCGGGCAGTATACTGGCAGATTATTCTGCCTGATTTCCCTGAAAGTTGATGATTAACCCCCGATTTATATGGTACATCTACATCAGAGGCGTTGGAACGTGTATATATGGAGTATGATGATGTGTGTGTGTATAATGTCGCACAAGAATGGAAGAATGACGGATTGGTTTTATAAAGGTACCGTTGTCGAGATGATGAACGTTGGGTAGATAATATTATTTGGGAAACACTATGATAAATCGCCGAGTCGTCAAGCGAGTGAGTCATGGAAGATAGCGAAGCAGTTCTGTCTATTCCGTAGAGGATTAAGCAAGATGCTAACTAAGAGTGAGTGTACCTCGTTGTGAGAGAAAGCTGGTATGGTGGATTGATAGGCGGGTTTGTCAGTATGGTCCTCCAGCGTCAAATATGATGTTGATGGGATAGCCAGTCTACTTGGTGTCGTATTTAGCGTTCGCGTAGAGTTCTATATGTTGATGCTCGGGTTTTTTGCCCAACGATCGAGGGGTTACCTCCGATTAGGTGTTCATTTTATTTTGTTTTTTTTATTGTTTTTTTTTTTTTCGTCAAAGGGAGGTTTCGCCATGGAGACTAACCATCATTGTGCTGTGTCCAATGTGATATGTTAGTTAGGATGAGGTCTACCTTCGATGTCAATATGAAAAAAAAAAAAAATCTGTTATGATCTCACAATGTCTCGTCGACGTTCGAGTGGACGATTCCAATCCCGAACGTGAATACAGCGGCAGCCCATGACATTGTATGTACTTGGGGGTTGGAGGGCGGCCTGGTGTGGGTCCTTTTCTTCCCCCCTCTTCATTAAAGAGGGGGGAAAAAATTAGTAGGACAAACTTTTATTCTGGGACAAAGCCGATCGGTACTATATTAAATCTCCTATTAATGCCCTACAAAATCGCTTATTTGTATTGTAAAACCGGGCCGCATTTCGCAATACAACGCATTGCAATATATTGTTCTTTCGTCGTTTTTACTGTAAATCTATAAAAAAGTGAGTAATTTATATATTTATAGATTAATAGATAAGTCGTTAATTTTACTCGTATTATAGTGCCTATAAATTTTGATAAGCATTTTGAGGAGTTGGGGGAGGCGCCCGCTGGGTATAGAGGCGCCCGTATATATTTCGATGCCCGTAAACATTTCGAACAATTGAAGTTATCGTACAAGCCGCTGATTATTAGAGAGATCGCTGCCATTACAGGAGAGTCGCGTACCTCTATTACTTATTATATTAAATTGTTAATTGAGACTACTAAACCAATTATCTTATTACGGCTGGTCGGGCGACTCTATATATTAATTGAGATAAAGGAGGATACTATTATATCGTATATAATATTTTATTTTTAGAGACGGTTCCTAACGCTATACTAAATGGTTATTGCGGCGGTAAATTAATTACGTTTGTTGCAGGGGGTTTTAGAAATTTATAATATAATGTAGTTAATTAACTTCCTTAAAGACTATTTAAAGTTTAAAACCTCTACTTACCGTACAGTTAATATTAAATAATAATTCTAGGAGTTGAATAAGGAGTTTATTAATAAATAGTTCGATGAGTACAAAACTATTATTAAGAAGTACGGAGTTGAAAGAGGCGATATCTAAAATTGTAACGAGATGGGGGTAAAATTCAACTATGTAGTGGGTAGGCGAGTAAGGGTAATTATATTAAGAGAGTTGGTAAAGTAAAAGTTAGAAATTAATAATATTATTAATTATAAGTTTATTACCCTTATAGTAGGAATAAGTACGGCAGGGTACGCAGTACTAGTATATATAATATTTAAAACTAACTTAATAGAAGATTTCTTTATTAATAATCTAAATAAGAGGGTTAGATTTACTAAATTACTAATTGGCTTTTCGAACGTAGAATTTACCTTAGACTAATTAAAGTACTTTAATTACTACTCCTTCTACCTATTACCAACTTTTATACAGTTAAGAGAAGAGGACAGCTATAAGCTAGGAAAAGAAGAGTTTTCTTTTACTAAGTAGTTTGGGTGTAATTAGTATAGTTATAATGTATTTAGTTAGAAAATCCTAAATTTAGTATATAGAGTAGGATTAAGGAAGTTGTATAAATTAGTCTACTGTATTCTAATTATTAATAGGTTTAGTAGTTATTGCAATATAGATATTAAAGAGTATACCGATGCCTTCAATATTATTTTAATGGGCTTGCCTCCTTATTTAATATATTTAATACAATTATTTAACATTGGAGTATTCTCTTTATTTAAATCCTATTACTAGAAGGTTTTAAAGTAATTTATTTAATAAAACGAGTATAGCTTTATTTATATTACTTTTGTTAGAGAATTGAAGGTAAGTTAGATTTAAATTACTACCGCCCGTTCCTCCTATCTCGCTAATTAATTAACTATATTGCCTCCGGTCTTTTAGAGTATTCTCAATAATAGTATAATCGCGTATAATATTTTCAACAGATTCTCGGATATTAGGATGTAGTTAATTAATAGGATACAAGTTCTGCTTTAAATCTAGGTAAAATAGCCAAAGTAATCCAACTCCGCACTCCCTTCGATATTCTTTAGCGAAGACCGCTTTGCTAAGGTAGCGAAAGTTATTATTTATATTAAAGATAAATACTATTATACTTTTAATTTGCTAATATATTAACGTTATTCTACCATTAAGACCGTTGTTTATAAGGGACTATTAATATATAATACTATTTAAGAATATAACCGATAAGATAGGGAGAAGGCTGCTATTTTAGATTGTAAAATAAGGAGATGGGTATATAAAGTACTACAAGAGGGCGAGTTTCTCTCCCTTTCGAAGGAAGAATTTAATTAGAGAGCCATAGAGCGGGTATAGAAAGAGTAGGCTATTAATATAAGAAGGTAAATATTAGCCATTAGATTAGAGAATAAGAAGATTTAGAAGTAGTTATACGAGTAATAGGTTAATAATCTTATTAATGGTAAGGGTAAGGTTATGTAGAAGGTTTACCTTAATAATTGGAAGAAGGAGTAGTTAAAAGAAGAGTATATACTATTTTATAAGGAGGATATATTCAATACGCTAGACGAGGAGGAGGAAGGGGGGGGACTGTATATACGTAATACATATAGCATATTAGTGCTAGAGTCTTATAAAAGAGTATAAGGTAACTTATTTAATTTATTATTTAATAATTCTATTGAGTTTATTTTAAATAATAATCCTTCTAATATTTGCTTGTTAGAGTTCCCCTCCTTACCCTTATACCTTCGCCCTTTAATTATTAAAACAGCTTCTTAAGTTATTACTCGTTTTGATATATAGATAATTAATAAAATATTCGAAGATGAGACTACCCTTATTAATAACGATAATGATAAGGACGAGGCTATATTTAAAAAAGTCTACGATAGGGATAATAACAAGGAGAAGGAGGAGGAGGATTTACTAATACTCCTCCCTCTAATTAACCGCTGTCTCTTTAACCCACCCGCTACACCTAAACCTCCCATACAAATTAGATTATTAATACTAGCTACTTTAATACTAGCTCCTACCCTCTTATTTACCTTATTACGATTAAAAGCTCTAGAGTTAATACTATATTAGAAGGTTATAAAGTTCGTTAAAAGTACTATAAGACCCCGTATATAGGTACAAAAGGAGGCTATACGTATAAAGAGTACGCTGTTAAGGCGGGAAGCGGTTGTGTAGGAGGTTACACCCGCACCAGCACTTGCACTAGCGCTAGAAAATGATAGAAAAGACTGAAACCTAGTCTCTTATTTACTTACTATCTAATTGGGTAATATATTAGGTTCTTAACAATATTGTATTAATATATAATGTAGTAATTTACTATAGGGATGGGTTATTTCATTAGTAGATTACTACGTGGCTTGTCCTATAATAAAAGTTTGTCCTATTTTTTTTTTTCCCCCTCTTTTATGAGAGGGGGTTGACAAAAGGTCCCACTTCGCCCAGCCCCCAAGTATACCACACATTCGTCATCAAGTGCCGGTGGTCCCTTGTTGCATTGTTTTGGAATCACGGCAAGGACCGATGTGGTTGTAGCGTAAGTGGAACTGTCAAAGAAGTGACAGGTCGACAGCTACATACCCCACAGATGATAATAATGAGGGGGAGGGCATCCTCAGTCGTGAATGGCGCTTTCTTGGGAGGAGATGGCTTTTCTGACGCCTGGCCATCAATAACCTGGCACTAATTATTATGCGCCTAATCTTCTTTCCCTTTGTGTTAGTTTGTGTCCTTTGAGCAAGGTCACTGTCCAAAAAGGTAGCAACAACGTGGCTGGTGTCCTTATCGTAGTGGAAGAAGCCCGGAGGGCACATATAGAGGGGCGAGTCGAAAGTTCCGCGGACGGCCGTGGCCTAGTGTTGAACCGTCTCTCAGCGGCAGACAACCCCAGAAAGGTCGTATTGTTGAGGATGCGAAGTCTATCCCTTTTCGAACGTACGTCTTAGACAAGGTGCGGTCCGAAGCGAGGCTGTGATGTGCGTACACAGTTCCTGATATGTGAGTGGCTGATAAAGATTGATTGGTAAAGGGCGCCGGGATCAGAAATGCCCTGGCGTCCAGCTTACACGGCGCAGGCTGGGCAAAGGGCCGAAAGCAGCAAACGACTTTCAGGAAAGTTTCAAAAACACCGTGACAAATCAGAGTTAGGATTGATATTCGGGAGGCAACAAGTGGCTGATTCCCAGGTGATGAGGATTTCGTGATCTTGGACGCAGGGCTTACCTGCATGGAACAGAATAAGGTTGATTCCATGAGGCTTCGACTGGCCTACCTCTCTCTCTGATAGGCAAGTCGATGACCCTGCGGTATCAGATTGAACCACAAAGTTTATTTGAAATACGTCTGGGTTCTGGCAAGATTTGTAATATTGAGATCACAAGATCTTGTGTCTGATTGAGGCCATGACTCTGAAGTGAGGGTATCCCCAGTGTCCAAGACGAACAGCAAAGATCGGCAAGCAGCTCGCTTGTCCCAACTGGAACTGGTCTGTCTCCAGCACACGACCATCCATCCACCTCTCCAGCCCCCGGAAACATGACTGTCAGAAAGAAAGAAGACTGACTCAACTGCTGCACAAGCTTACCGCCTCGAGACACGCACGCAGGACATGGAGAAAACCCCCCATCCGTCGAATATACATCAGCCGGGCCATCCGTGAACTGTGACGTACCCAGTCACTGTCCGTACCTAGCGCACCAAGCGCACCAGTGACAGACTGACAGATGAGATGCGATTCACGGATTGCCCACGTGCTGTCAAAAGTTGTTGACCAGCTAGCCGGATCAAGCCTGGTGCTGGTAGCCAATGGTCTGGACAGCTCTGGTGTTGGATTACTTTGCTTTCGCTTGTGGTCTTGGAAGGGCGCTGTGTCGGGCCCGCGGGGGGGCGACGTGTTGTAGGAGAAAGTGGAATTGAGCGAAGCCTCACTCACCATGGAAGACCGACAACGGACTGACCGCCTCGCGGGGTGCTGTGCGTTGCCAGAAGGGAAGCGGAACCTTGATGGCCCAAGCTTCCTCACTCTTGTTGAGCAGCTGGGCCACCCCCTGTCAAAGCTTCCTAGCTGTTCAGGGTCGCATTTTCCCCGCCAGACTTCCCCACTGTCTCAGGAACACACGGCAGACAGCCCGCCAAGCTCGGTAAGGCAACTGGCAGGCAAGTGCGAATCTGGCATCTGGATCAAGTCGTTGAGATCTTGTGACTTGGTTGGAAGGCAACTCACGAACCCCCCTCCTCCCTGTAGTGGTGCTGGGGCTGTTCCGTCAGGTCGTGGCCGTACGAGGAGAGGGTGGGTTCGGGATGCTTGGTGCGAACTCCACAAACACTCCAGTGCAACACTCCCCAAGACGACCATCTCACCGGCTCCAAAACCTGGGGCTTTGGTAAGTAGTCATTGTGCGTGTTAGTCACTGCTAGGTATCCGGATGCCCGAAATGGTGGCGATCCGGGTCAGTCAAACCTGTGAAACTCGGGGCAGAGGAGAAATGGAAGGCCGCGGGAACACAAAGCTGCAGCCATGGGCTGTTTGACGCTCGAGAATACTCGGGATTGCGCACTCGCATCTACGTCGTCATCGGCTCATACAGCGGACCCCCCTCCCCCCCCTAGCTTGGACCTTTCGGTCCTCTGCCCATTCCATCTCGGGATGCTGCGAGATGCTGGGACTAAAAACACCAAAACGGACGATCAAGGCCATGATAAACATTGTAACCCTGGCAACCTCCAACGTCGCCATGTCTAGTGCAGACATGGTGCCAATCAAACACCATGTTCTCGTCCCCAGGCCTCCGACCATCACTTACATAAGAAAGAGGGGTCCGTAGTCTGGGGACTTTTGGGACTTGGGAGTGATGGGACAGTCAATCAATCGCCACAGGTGCACCTAATCGCAGGAGGGGGTGGCATTGGACCTGTATGGCGAGCTGTACCATATGTAGTATGGGGATGCAAGAGCGATGTGCCGGTTTGTTGTCGAGCGGCGGCAGTCGTCTCCAACAGCAACGCACGAGTCAACTCTTCACGCAGATCAAAGTCGAATCCTCATTGCTGCAATCATGCATGCCGCCAACTCCAAGCTTCCCTGTCCCCTCCTTTCTTTCTTGACATCTTTTGTACCCCCCTCCCCCCCTGTCAGTGAGTGTTCTCCTCAGATTGGCTTTGGTCTGCCCAGATCTCTCGAGTGAGGGTCCCGGAGGTCCGTTCCCGGCCTCGACTTATATCGACTGCTTCTCTCCCCCAGCTTCAGTCCCCAACATCCTCAACATCTCGTCAGCTCCCTTGTTCAACTCTGAACTCAAATACCAGCCATCTCTCTCCTCTCGACTCATCTTCTGTCTCTGTCCTTTCATACTCTCAATCCTCGCACCTCTTCGACATCAAATAGCCATCCGGTGAAGCACTCGACACAGCTTTCCGAATCGGGAAATCATTCATACTGTGTAATACATATCAACACCACACAACCAACCAACCACAACAACAACATCAATCATGTCGAGAATCGCGGCTCCCGTCACAAAACTCACCAGGTCTTTGAGCACATCTCCTGCTGTTGCCAAGCCTAGCTTTATCCTCAATGCCACCAGCAACGTCAGCAGGACTGAGAGTCTTGATGTAAGTTCCCTCCCCCTTTGTTTCTCTCCTCATTGCTCCTTTTCCACCTCTGCCCCTCCATTTACATGACACTGCCACATTTCCTTGGACCATGGTCTCCAATTGCGGACTTCCCTCACCACACGGCACCTATCAGATAATCGAACCATTATCTCCTATCATCTTCCCGTCCTTGCAGCGTAATCACCCAATTCGGGAAATGCTCTCTCACAAACGTCCCGTTCACTTCCGTCCACACCACCAAACTCAATGTGAATAACCATGACACTAACAAATCACACCAGGCCCGCACTCCTCGCAAGGTTCCCCTGATGCAAGGCTTCCGTACCTCGGCCCCTACCAACGCCTCCATCAACCCCTCCTTCTTCGCCAACGGCATCGACGCCGTCGTCCTTCCCAACCTTGCCGCCATAGAATCCAGCCATGCCTCTGCTTTCCACCCCACCTACTTTGACACCATCCGCGTCCCCCTGCTCCCAGACAACAAGACCCCTCCTCCCCCCACGGTACAGCGCATGCCGCTCTTTGACGAGCTAAAACCCGAGCAGCGCGGCGAGATGGCCTCTGAGGGTGACGCCGACCTGATGGCCAGCAAGCCCGCTGTCGCCGTCGTCGCCAACAAGCCCGGCCAGGTGCTCCCCGCCTCGCTCAGCCAGGAGGTTGTCGATTTGGACAACTGGACTGGTGCTGACTGGGTCAGCCTTGGCTTTGTCCGTGACATTGCGCGCGACGAGGCTAAGGCGCAAGAGGAGCAGGCTGGTAGCCAGGGTATGATTAGGGATCTGTGGAGTGGTATGGTGGAGGATGTGTTTGGCGCTCGTGCTAAAGGTGGCTCTAAAGCTTGATGTTCTCTCTCTCGCTCTCCACTAAACGCGAGAACATTTCATTGAGTTTTTGATCACTGGAGCGAGCGGTAATGGGTTTGACACATGGTCATGGGTTTCCTTTTTTTGCATATGAGTACCTCTATGTACACGACTGGGTCTCTTGTTGTTTGGTTTTGGGCGGAGCAGGTGTTTTGGGTCCTTTGCTTGTTTTCTTACTGTTTTCTTTCCTTATTACGATATGTGGAAGACTGGCGACAACGTCTCAGTAGTCTTGTCTGTCTTTTGGATAGTCATTACCTACTACCCTACGAGCGAATCACTCGTGGGCTCGCTGACTCGATAACGAAATTGAGAAAGGCTAGAGCCTCGAAATTCATCATCACTTAACAATTTTTCACATGTTTTTACGTCCGTGACGGACAGTGATACTTGCGCATGTTTTTCTCGATTATGGTATTTATCTATCATGATTCCAGTCCGATGTCATTCACATGCATTTCCGTCACACCGTTAACACCGTCTTTGTTGCTAACATGTAATCTTGGTATATTCACAAGTTTCGACGATAAGCTTCCAAATACCCTCATTCTAACCATCTTTATAAACCCGTTCCTGGCAACCCACATGTATTAAGTAGACCCACCCCCCCTTACACCAGAACCAACAAGCAACTAAATACCGAAATGTTCAAATGCACGACATCAACCTCCAGGGTCTCCTGTCTCCTGTCTCCTGTCAGATCTCCACAATCTCCGAGTCCGGTATGTATGTATGTACATACATACATGCCGAGATCACATGCTCGCTTTGCCTGTTCACATGATCAAGTCACATGCTTACCTACTAAACTTACCTACTTACTTACCTACTTACCTGGTATCTACCAGACCCCAAAGCCTCGCAAAGAGGTCCAGACTACCTAGGCTACGTACCGCACATTCAACGCCTACGTCAACTTTGAACATGCCGCTCGTTAAGTCAAGCCTCGTCGGGGAACTGAATTGGTGGGAGCTTTCATGGACGGGGCCGGGGTTCCGGTTACGATTTGGGAGTGCCGATTCCGATGTTAGGTGGCTGTTACAAAGTCTTAACGGGAGGGGAGAGTTTGTGCGCGTCGCAGCTTGTGCAGTGTGTGCAGTGTGGTTCATGCTCTAGGTAGGTATAGTACATAGTGAGTGTATAGTGATTGCAATGCCACTCGATATAGGTGCTCTTAGCTTCATCCTTGTAATAGGATATATGTAGTAAACGCTGGGGAATTAAGTAGGTGTGATACTGTAGTCAATTCCAAGTCCAGTCGTTAATCGCAATACCAATTTGTGATTTCGAGGATCGGATAGAAGCTTATGTAGGTAGTGTACAAGAGAGGGAAAGGCAGGAGAGGTAGGAGAGGTACACCACTACCTGGAAACAAGGGTCAGGTTAGGTTAGATTAAGTTAAGTTAGGTACACTAGAGGTAGAGGTAGAGGTAGAGGTAGAGGTAGAGGTAGAGGTAGAGGTAGAGGTAGAGGTAGAGGTAGAGGTATGTTCTAGAACACTCCTCACTGTCGTATGTGGCTTTTGCTTCTTATTTCATGATTCGAGAGCCCAGTTTCGTATTAAACACAATGGAACACAACGAAACACGAGGGGACAATCAACTAGAACATTGGTTGTTGATAGGGGGTCTGAGTGTCTGGTGATGTCAATGATGTCATCGAAGGTCAATCTGTTTATTTATCATGAACCGACGGGACAGGCTGAACTGTCCGTGGGGACTTGGGGAATCGAACGAAGCTCGGTGCTTTTCATGAACTCTTAACAAATGAGAAAAAAGAAGAGGAATATAAGTAACAGGAGCGAACTTATCTATGGCAATAACTGAATCGTCATGGTCGAGTGAAGAGTCAGTCCCCAGTGACTATGAAGACATGGTGGCTTGAACGAGCTTGATACACTACTTACCAGCTTTAAGGTTCTCGGTGAAAGATACAAAGGTCAACGAACATAGCTCGTTAGTCAGAGAGTCTCTATATTCGTTTCTGGTGTTTTGTTACGTCAAATTCCCATCAAATTGCTACCTTGATGGACACTCGTCTATAGTCAGTCCGTCATCAAACACGAGATGGAAGAATGGAAGATATGATTACGGACCTGAAATATAGCTCAGTCAATCCCTACTCGTTACACTTGAAACCCATTGATTAACCTAACTGCCTAAACTACCAAATTCATAAAAGAAGTCGCGCTGCTGCTTGCTTCCTCTTCCTTTCGTTCTTGCCGTGCAGACCTCTGGTATCGTTGATTCTTGTCATCCATCACTTTCGTACCGTCTCTTCGGCCGTTTCCATACTACTATAACATGACCTCCTCCATGCTTTGTCGTTTTGTATTTTGGTCCCTGGTCTGGAAGGAATGCAACTTTTCCTTATCCAGATACTCCGGATAGCCAACTTTCCACATCACTCTTCGTAGCTCCTTGTGCGTCTTACATGCATTTTCCATTTTCTTCTATCCCCGTTCGTCGTCGTCAAGTTATGCCCCTACCTCTTCTTAACGCTCGGACGGGGCTTGCACTCGTCCTGCTGTACTGGGTGAAGCATGACCTTGGTCGGGTACGTGGGCGAGTTGCCTTGGTACCCCTTGCTCCAGTCATAACTAATGGCGTAGGCAAAGATGCTGCCGGTCTTGTTGAACGTTGTCGAGGTGATGCTGCCGCCGACGTTGGGGTAACCCTTGAGACGGTGCTTGGCGTCCTTGTCCCAGAAGTGGAAGGTGCCGTCGCTACCGGCTGTGCTGAAGGTGCCGTGTTGAGGGTGGAAGGAGATGTCGTTGACAGCGTGGACGGCCGTGGTGTTGCCTTGGGCGGGGTCGCGGTGGCACTTGAAAGAGAAGTTGGAGCTGGAATAAGAAGTTCGTTAGTCGGCGTGTTCGGCAGATGGGATAGTAAAGGGGGAGGTGAAGACGTACGCAGAATCCTTGTCCTCCACATATTGAATGGCGCATCTACCCTCGATCGAGCCGATAGCAAAGCCCTGGGAATCGTTGAAGCAGCTGACCACGCGAGTCTGCCATTTGAGAGGGCTCTGCATTGTCTTGTAGAACTTGCCGGGGTCCTTCAGGTTGATCACGTTGATATAGCGATCAGCGGTTCCGACCACGAGCAAGTTGTCGCGCACATCCATGGTATAAACGCGCTCCTGGGCCTGCACCGTGGCGGCCGGATTCGCGGAGCGGAAATCCCAGTACTTGATCTGCTTGTCCCAGCCACCTGTCACCGCCATGGGCGTGCCATTGGCCTCGAAGTAGCGAACGCACTTAATGGGCATATCGTGGGCAGCGACCTGCATCGACTGACCGGTGGCCAAATCGAGAACCTTGGCGGCCTTGTCGGCGCCGGCGGAGATGACCTTTGTGCCGTCCTGTTGGGAGGGGTGCATGTCAGTGTTTTGTCGGGCTACCAAGCCAACCGAGGCAAACATACCTTGAAGAAATCGCAAGAGAAAACGGGGGCATCATGCTCAATCATGGCCTGTCCCTGACCTTGACCATTACTCAAGATCTCGTAAATGCGTGTCTTCTTGTCCCAGCTGGCTACGGCGAGGAAGTCCTTCTGATCGGCGGGATTGGGGTTGAAGGCAAGGTCGCTGATGCTGTCCTCGGGGGGTTGGCCGAGCTCGACATCCTGCTTGAGATCGCCGAGGGTGTTGCTCGCGGATGCGGCGGCGGAACCGAAAAGACCAGCCATGTTTGGCTTGTGCTGGGAGTCGTGAGACTCGAGCTGGGCAGTTTAGAGCTGTCGCGCGTATCGTATGTTGTGGTCGTGATAAAAAGCCGTTCGTCTGTTGCTACAGGTTCTGAAGCTGTGCAATGGTGCAAAGCAGCTTCTTATGTATCGGTTGTTGAAGTAGAACCGCTTCGAAAGACGGTTCGTTAAGACTACTAAGCAGCAGCGACAGGTATTGCTGCTGGCTGAGGTATGATGGAATCCAAGTCGCGGGTTGGGTCGCGCTTTGATAGTGGGATGGATGGATGGATGCACACACGCCAGCCGGCAGAAAGTTTGGAGAGAGGCTGCAACCCGACTCCAAGTTGCCTGCCGTTGCCTGCCGTTAGGTTGCCTGGCGCTGCTGCCTTTGGTGGTGTGCAGTGACCAGTCACTAGGTTCACACTGCACCGTGGCTCAGCAACATCATTCGCTCATCGACCAGTCCTCACTGCTGATTGGACACTCAGCTCCACCTTGAACCACAAAGACCCACCCCCGCCGCGAGTGCCATTTTTAAGAAAATTTCGGGACCGCAAACCACACTTTTCCCTTTTCTTCTCCTCTCCAAGCAACTCCCCCTCGTCCGACAAATCGCTATTCGAAGCTTCCACACGGAGAGATCACGCTTTTTTTGCGCGCTTCTTTCATTTCCTCGAGCTTTGGGAGAAAGTCCCCGGACATTCGTTCGCTTGCGAACGGATTGCGGAAACGCGCCGCCATAGAAGCACTGCGGCTGATCTCGGCCGCCCAGTTCCTCGTCTGTCTTGCCCAGCCCTGCCCGTCACACCAAAGTCGGCCTCGTCTGCTTCTCCGGGGAGGGTGTCGCTTTCCGAGCTCGGGGACCACATGGACGAAGATATGAGTCCGCGCCTCGGGTGACGAGTTTGATGCCTGATCTGGGGAGCTGGGGTCGATGGCGGGTTCAGCCGCTTGGGTGGTCCGGACTTGGGGCGTTTTGACGGTGGCTCGAGAGGTTTCGTCATGATACCACAGATATGCGATTGCTCGCTCTTGTTTCTCTTCGGGGAAGCCGGGGCGAAGTTACTCGACGGGGCTTATTCTTGGTGCGAGGGGGGTTGCTTCACAACAACCCATTTCTTTCCCATCTTTGCTTTCTTCGTTTTGTTCCAACCTGGACATGCGACGTGGTTTGGATGGACATCTTTTGAAACTCTAGACTTCGCGGGAAGTCCCCAACCCGTTCATCCGATCATGTCACATTGTCTTGGCTGGCACAAACGTGAAAGCATCTGCTACGATCTGGGGGGCTTCACAAGTTCAGGTGATGAGAAACACAATAATAGAGTCAAGCTCTGAAGTGGTGCCGGGGTAAATCTTCGCGCATCACCCTTGATGACTCTTATTGAATACGATCTGATGAACTTTCCAAGCGTTTGCTTTTTTATTATTATTCAAGCCTTCTTCCCATCATTACGTAGTACTAGTCTAGCTTCGTCCACTCCTCGTTGACACCGTTTATGATGCTCGTGTCTCATAAGCATTCCCTGGCTTACTGAAAGCCGTCTATCGTATTACATCTCCGTGACTCGGTCTATCCAAGTCCGCTGTCGAGATTTCCCCTTGCTCCAGATGCCGATGATGGATGGTGTTGTTGGTATGTTTTACCGCATACGGCATCTCTACTCCTTTTGCGCGGCGATGGCCTCCTCCTTCTGCCTCTGCTGCTCCTCCAGCAACTCGCGCTCCCGGTGGGCGGCCTCGATGTCGGCCTTCATGCCCTTGGCCTTCTGGCGAGCCTCATAAAGATCTCTGCTCTTCATGATTCTCTGGACGATGGTGCCGGCATTCACGTCCTTGTACTCGTGTTGGCCAATCTCCTTGTAGATGCCCAACTCCTTGGGAACCGCGTACACGTCTTCGGTGTGCGGCATGAACGAGGTCGGGCCGTGGTAGACCGCATCAGGAGTGCCCCAGGGAAGAGAAGTGAGATAGCCCTTGGTTGGTTTGAAGGGAGCGCCGAAAACGACGGCGTTGATGTACTGTAGCGAATGTCAGCATCAATCGCTTGACGACTCTGTTTGATGAAAACATACCTTGCACTGCAAAACGCAGAGACCACGCTCAAAGACGTTCATGATGGGATAGTTCACGCCCTTTTCGCGGTTGATGACCTCGTCATCATGAACACCAGCCACCACAAATGCCGGACCGTAATCCGCACCCTTGCCTTTCCTCTCGTCAATCGCCTGCTGCGAATACCACCCCTCCTGACGCGCCAGCTCCTCCTCCTTCTGCGTCACCAGCCTCAGGAACTCAATATGTCCGCTCGAGAACAAATCAAACCCTCCATCCACATAAACAACCCTCTGCCCCGGCTTGGGTCCAATCCCCCCAAACAACTCCCTGAACACCCCCTTCTCCTCCTTGCCCTCATCCTTCTTCTTCTTCTCCTCCCCCTTCCAAAACCACACATTCGCCCCAGGGTTCTTGGCCGTCTCGTCCGTCGCGTACAGCCTAATCCTCTCCTTCATCTCCTCCCCGACCTTCTTCTCCTCCTCCGCCGTGCCATTCCCTTCCTCCCCCTCCAACATCTTTTCCAAATCCTTGATGAAATGCGTCCGCGTACACAACAGCATCCTCCCCACCAAATCCGTGGTGCTGATACTCGGCGTGCGCTTAACCACCTTGAACCGATTCGCCGCCTTCACAAACCGGTAGCAATCCTCGCCCGAGCTGTCGGACGTGATGTCGTCCCCGTGCACCACGTACTTGCACCCGAAATGGCTGATCCAGTCCAGCTGCGTGACGTAGGGCGCATAGGCGACCGACTTGGTCACCCACCGGCAGGCGTCGGTGGCGAGCAGACGCTCGCGCAGCGTCATGACTGTGGGCCCCTTGTTCTCGAGGATGGCTTCGTCCGAGTGCACGCCGACGTACAGCTCGGTGCCGAGTTGGCGGGCCTGCACGACGGCGCCGGCGTGGCCGTGGTGGAAGAAGTCGAAGCAGCCGTCGACCCAGAGACGGCCTTCGAGAAGGGAGGGGGCGGGGGTACCCGGGGGATTAACGGGGTCGGAGGGGGCCATTGTTGGTGTTTGGATTATTTGGGTTTGGGATGAATGTGGTGAGTTAATAATGTCCTTTTTGAGTTGGGTGTAAACACCGGTAGTTTATGAGATGGTGTTGGGCTGTGATGGCTTGAACTAGGTTATCCTGTTTTGTGGTACCTAGTACAAGAAGGGATACTTGAAGGGTTGCAAGAAATGAAAGTTAATCCAAGAACGGTTGGCTGAAGCTCGTAAGGAATAAGTTCAGTGATTAGCAATTAGAGAAAAAGTGTTGCTGAAACGTGATGAAGGAGAGAAGGCGTTGTCACGAGGAAGCTGTGTTGATCAGTAGTGTAGGTACCTGAATAAGACCAATGATACCCTATCAGTCCTACCCCTTTTGTTGCCCCCCTCTTCCTAATCTGCCCCTCCCCCACTTATTATTCATGGACAAAAAAATGTTGAGGCCACATGGTGACACTTTATGACGGTCTAGGGACATATGTTCAACTCAACGTTGTTGAATATACATGACGGAAACCATGGTCTGTTTATTAATTTCACCAATCCTGTCATTGTGCGTGGATAGGCGTGTTAGTTTAGTGTTGCGTCAAGAAACGCATTGTTTTTGTCTCTCAGTAACAGTTGTTTGCAGGTTAAATTGTACGGCGCTTGTTCCGTCCTTCCCGCCCAACAACTGCGGCCCAAACAGCGACCCGATCGGTTCCTCTCATTCAGCATGCTGTGGTTGCCCTTTTGAATGGTGAACTATTGGAGGCTCTTTTTCAGGGTCCAATTTCTCCATTGTTCCTTGCACATGGCCTACATACCATAGTGTTCAAGTTGCCAACATTTGTTGTCAATCTTCTACATTCCATTCAGCTCGCTGGAAAGGGCACCACTGTTGGGCTCGTAGAGCTCGCCAGAGACGTTTATTTTTCAAATTCTCAACAACCAAATTGTAGGCCACTGGCAATGTTTATTACGAGCTTCTTGGGACGAAAAGTCTCAGCTTGGCTGTCTAAAAATCCCAGGAGATCTCTCGTTTGCCGGCCAATGCTCTCATCGAATTGCCACGAGCAGCCGGGCGATTAATGTCTCTGACGGGCGGTAACTGGGATTCCGTTGCTCCCATTCCTCGGACTTTTGCGGCTGGCGGCTGCTGATTTGCGATCAGGCGGACAAACGGACAGGAAAAGGTCGCACTCCCGTTTTGTCGTCGTTGTCGTCAGAGCTTGGGCCCAGTCTTTGATGGTCATAGCATTTTTTTGTTTTTTTTTCGAGGCAATTTATATCGAGTTGGGACCCCGTGGTTGCGGGCAATCATATCTTGTCTCTTCTCAGAACCTGCGACACCTCGAATAGGTATCCCATGTGAACGAACGACGTCGTCTTTCTGGATATCCACAGCATCGAATGTGGCCTGCCGAGGATACCTTAGCTTGCGGGGATGCGCAGCGGAGAGGAACCTCGAGCCCCTGGTGCGCTGACAGGTCAATGACAATTGCCAATATTCGACATTTTAAGGTCGCATATCAGCAAAATAACGTGTGAGACATGCAGCGAACCAGTCCGACGACATTGCCTCTTTTTGGGGGGGAAGAAGGAGAAGAAGGAGGGAAAACAAGAAGGGGCAAGGGCAAGGGCAATGGCAATGGCAATGACAATGGCAATGGCGATAACGACATGATCGATCCTTCATCTCCTCCTGCTGGGAAAGAGGCTCCTCCCCCGGTCCCCAGCAAATCGCCCAAATCTCCCTGGAATAATAGCCCGTCGTCTGGGAGATCGCGACCGCGACCGGGGACCAGTTCGGGTACTGCTGCTGCTGCTGCTGCTGCTGCTGCTGCTGCTGCTGCTGGTGCTGGCGGAGACGCCAAGTGGAATCCAATTCCAATTCCAGCTCCCTCGCCGTCAGGGGTGCAGGGCCAGGGACACGTTCAGGCACAGGCACATGCACGGGGGCAACCACCACTACCGCCGTTAATACCACCACCTCCATCATCATCACCCAGTGCAGTGCAGCACTCGCCAATCACATCCGCCAGGCCCAGCATTAGCCAGGCTAGCGCCAGCACCAACGGGAATAGCGCCGCTGGCTCGACGCTCCCCCCCAGTCCAAGTCTACCAGATCCCCGCCAGCACAAGGTCCTCCACAAGGACCCTAAAGATCCCAACACCCAAGAACGCGAGAATCGCGATCGCCAGCCTTCATTCAGTCGCAAGTCGTCCCTTTCATCCCTCATCCACCGACATCGCCGCGCCGCTTCATCCCTATCGACATCCGGAGCCCCAGGGGGAAATGGCCCTGGCAGCGGAGCCGCAGCAGTGACGAGTCGATCCCGAAAACCGTCCCTTCAACCCGTCGGCACCACCAGCCACAGCTCCTTCAGCTCCAACTCGATCCCGCCCGTCCCCGGCATTGCGCTGGCCGCCTCGCGACTGACCGACGCCGTACGCCCCCCGCCGTCTGCCACCACCGAGACCGTCAACTTCTCGAGGATGTTGAGCCGCAGCACGCCCACGCCGGTGAATGGCTTCGGGCCAAGCACCACACAGTTAGCGCCTCCCGCTATGGTGGCTCCCGGGCCCCAAAGCGAGCTGGGCGAGGTGCACGCGCGTATACAAGAGACGGCGAACAAGAGGATATCGACCTTGGATTATCTACGGAAAGCGTACATCTCCCCACTCACGCCGTCAAAGAGCCCACATCATATGCTGACCATGTCTCCTTTTTCTTTTGCGCAGTCACGAAGGCCGTATTTACTGGTTCAACACGATCCTCTTTGACAAACCCGACCTACAAAAGATGCCTTATTTTAACAGCACCAAGCTGGGCAGAAGAGCAATTAACTACCTTCTCTTGGGTCTCTCCCTACCCACCGTTCTTGATCTCGTCTGCAACAACCCTACCGACTTTTTGCGAAGTCTGAACCACCTCCTAGCTGAGTTCGAAACCTTCCAACAGCTACACTCGGAAAATGGCACAGCGTCAGCCAGTTCCCTATCACGGGCCCGCATCCCGCAAATGTTCCGACGAGCTACGCCCAGCGCCAAAACAAGACGATCAAGTAGTGCGACTGGCATGGGAGGAGGCAGTAGTAACACCACCGTGAACGGATCCAGCACCCCAGCGATGCCCATCCCGCCACCGACAGCGAACGGAAACGATCCTAATGACTTTGGTTACGCTCTTGAATCCGTCCCCTCCCACACGGGTACTTTTGACGAGTCTATGCTCACTACCACCACTACAAATTCGGGCGCGGGAAACACTTCAACATCGACAGAAAAGACGACATCAACAAGCAGCAGCGGCATTCCCTCGTCAACCTCAGCAGCATCAACCGCCCCCTCAACAACAGCGTCCACCATTGCTGGCGCCCCATCCTCGGGTCAGACCGCACAGCCAACAACATCATCCGCCAATTCCCCAGCACCCATATCCTTCTCGCCAGCCGAGCAAACCGAGCTGCTTCCAGGGGAGGAGTACACACACTTACTAACGCCTAATCTACCATTCGATCCGGACTTCTTCGAAACTTTTGCGACATTATGTGACGTTTTAATCGACACTTATACGAGGCTACTATCACTGGTACCCACGCCCAGGGAGTGTAACGGCACGGTGGCCGAGTTGTTCACCAAGGCGGACGCCAAGATCCGCAAGATTATTGTTCAGGGAGTCATCAAAGAGTTTGAGGAGCAGAGTCGAGCAGGGGTGAGGGCGGAGGTGGGAGCGGTAGGGAGAGTGGTTTTGGGGGGTTTGATGTGAGTGTTTCTTGTGCAATGCGTGATGTTTGTGATGTTGATGTTTGTTTTGACGTTGTTTGATGTGTGATGTTGCCTTTTTTGGGCGATAGTGTGATGATTATGTTTCTTTTTTGGGCAGGCTTATGTGTGAAAGCAAAAGTATTGGGCAGGGCAAAGAAAAATTCAGGGGACCGGGGGCTATTGTGTTTCAACGCTTTTGGACTTTCTTTTGCTTACACTAGCTTCGCGAGAGGTCGTGGTGTGGTTTCATTATATCCTTATCTGTGACACTTATTTGTTACTACCCGCCTGTCTCACCTACGGACCCAAAAACCCAAAAGGACACACGCCGAAGACGTTTAAGGGGTCCAAAGGGGCGGCCTTGCCATCCATCCATGTCCAAAATGCAACACAACGCAACCGAACTGCCATGAAACAACGACCCGAATGAACGACCAACCATACAAAGTGGAACACCGAGCTAATTTATTCCGATTCCAAAACACAGGGAAACCGCCTCCTTGGCAGAACGAGCCAAAACCCTAGACAGGGTCGTGGAAAGCAACAACGAGAGCGGCAGCGGCAAAGGCAGTCACAAGAGCAAGAGGTACTCCTAGGTGGATGAACCTTCTAATGTCTCTGATGATGACGACGACCCTTTTGACGACACCTTCGTTCTTGTCGACGACGACAACGACGACGACGACGATACTGAAGGCGCAACCGAGGTGATGAGCCTTGTCGAGGTTCTCGGGTCCAGTCCACCACCTCCCTGTCGGAGGATGATCACGGCCGGAACGACCCCGAGGAGCAGTCCTTTTGGCTCCATTCCCATTGGCCCTATTGGCCCTATTGGCCCTATTGGCCCTATTGGTCCTCTTGGTCCTCCTCCGTTGAGGTCACCGAGTTGGGCGAGCCAGGGGAGCAGAACACCGAGTTTGGCTAGGAAGAGCTCCATGAGCTTTAGGTCGCTGAGGAGAAAGGTTTCGAATATGAGTATTGGTGGTGGTGGTGGTGGTGGTGGTGGAAGTCAGGGAAGTCTGGAGTAAGGAGCAAGTAATGCCGTTCCCCAGAGATCATGTCAACAACCGCTATAGGGGAGGATTCGTTCATCCATGGGGTGGGGGTATTTAACCCATCGTGTGTCCCAAGATTCTCTAATGATCTTTTCTGTGAAAGGGAAAGCAAGGAGGCGTGGAAATACAACGACACGCAACCAAAGGACATACTGGGTTGATAGAAGTGGGCGGGGTCATAAAGGCAAATATGGGAAGCCGAACGAAGAAGGAAACATCATCAAGTTTCATTAGAAGATCAAGATCAAGATACCATTCTGTTAGTTACATAGTTAGGACTACTTACGTAGTCGATTCAGACACTTTACTCTGAGTCTTATAATGTTTATATGGCATTTAGAAGGACGTTGTGTGTTGCTGGAGCCTGTGAAAGACAAAAGGGTAGTATTGATTGCTTTACTATTTACCATGCACAGGGGTTATATTATGACTATTTAGGAGACTTTCTACTATGTAAGGCTCGATGTATGTAACTAGGTTTAGGTATTAGTGACGACAAGGAGAGAGAACAAAAGAAGAAGGACAAAAAGAAAAAAAAGAGGAGAAAGAAAGGCGCGTCATGAATATCAGTTCGCTTGTACTCGGAGGACTTGTCAAAAATTGCCAGACTGCGCATCGTCAATCTGTATCTAACATTCTTAACAGGCTGGGGTAAGTTAAGTACCTTATCAACCCTGCACAACCAAATACGTAGGTAGTTGTAGTTATAGTACTTGACCCGAAGTACACGTTACGGTTAGTACACTATACTTTTAGGTACCTATCATCATTCTTTTCTTGTGCGTCTCAGCGTAGTGGAAACACATCGGTTTTCAAGGAAAAAAAAAAAAAAAAAAGAATCCTTAAATGACTCTAACGGATATGTTTTCAGATTATGGAAGAAATCCATCCGATCACGGTTTGGTAGTTAATGGTCTTTTCCTACCTAGCCAGCTATGTAGCTAAAGCGAGCCGCGCGTTGGACTTGCTTATATCCCCTTCGGTGTTGCTTCTTCAGGTATGATGACCTATTGTGGGTGAATATGAAGTGAAACCCCGAAATTTTTGGGACGTATGTGGTATTCCGTATGTGCCGGGTAGATACCCGAAAGGGACTCTTTTTTTTTTTTTTTTTTTCTTGTTGCCTGGAACCACAGTCATAGTTGATTCACATGCTCTTTCAGATATTCTATACTATTTACGCTCGGTATTTGCGTTTTTTTGGTTTTGTCCCTTGATGCTCTCTATCTATGTTATGTTATGTATGGATGGATACTACCTATTCCATGCCATGCCATGATGCCAGTTTGATGCTCAATAATTTAAACCATTACTCATTACATTCTTTCGTTTTTGACAATTTAGGAAACAGAAAACAAAAAAGACATGACAGATATGTGAGCGACCTCGATGTCCATCTTTCTGTTTTGTGTGAACCGAACCTGGGTTCAGGGTTATTGCTGATATCCATCCTCCTATTTCAGCATATTCCCCAGAAGTAAGCTGGTTATCCAGTGTGTATGTATGTGGCTAGACAGCAATAGACTGCTTAGAGGTATGCACCCCCTGATGCCCATGATGACTACCACTCCCACTCCCACTTCCACTCCCACTACTTTTCCTCCTCCGCCCCGATAAATGCAACCGATTCCCACTCCTCCCAGGACTCGAGTCCCTATCGCTACTACTACTGCCCTTTCTTCCAATTGGAGACCCACTCCTCTTATCCTTTTCAGACGCCGCCGACGACGACGACGAAGTGGACGAAGACGACGATCTTCTATGTACCCACGATGACGACGAAGAACGTTTATGATTATCATCCTTCTCGCCAATGGTGATTTTCGGGATGAGGATAGGGATAGTGAATGCCGGGAGTTTGGGTGAGGGGTGGTGGTGTAGTTTCTTGGGAGGTGTTGCGGGTTTAGTGGCTGCTAGGGGTGGAGAGGCGGGGGGTGAAGGGGGAGAATGATGTTTCCCGTGAAGGTGGTGGGTAGAGGTATGGGTGTTGTGGCGCTTGGAAGAGATGACGGAACGGAGGCGGGGGCTGGACCATTTTTCTTGGCTTTGGTGGTCTTGGGACTCTGGGGTGAGTAAGCTTGGAGATGAGGTGTCGTCCGTGTCATCCGTGAAGTCTTCGTGGGCGGTGGTTTGTTCGGGTTCTACTGAAAGTAGTAAGGCGGTTGACTGTCTTGGAGGTGTTGGGGGCATTGTCGGTATGTGTTCCTCGGGTTCCTGGTAGTTTGAGTTGATCTTGGTGGTTTCCATGGGCTTGTGATCGCTTTCACCTCCGCTTTCGCTGTCTTCCTCTTCGTCGTCAATGGCAAATTCTTCCGCGATCGGTGACAAGACGATTCCCCTTGGTGTCTTGATCTCGAGCAATGTCTGGACTTCTTGGTGAGCTGGTTCAGCTTCGAGTTCAGCCAAGGGCCAGTCTCGGGTTTCTGCTGCTTCAGTCTTGAAACCGATGTGTGCCAGCTCTGTCTTGTAATCCTCTTGCTGTGCTTCCAGCTCCTCTTCCAGGGTCAGGTCGTCACAAGGGAAGCCTGTGTCAGGCTCGGGCGCAGGCAACACCAGATGGAGGCTTGATGACCTGTATGAAGCCGGAGAGGCATCTCTTCTCGCTTTCCTTGGGCTGTCAGATTCCGGCTTCTCGTCATCCACATATATCTCCTCGAGCTTATCATCCGTCGCCGCCAGTTCCGGGCTGGGTGGGGTTGTGCCGCTTTTGCTGATGAAATCCGGATCAGGGTGACTGGAGGGCTCGGCTCGGTACTGTTCGGCTTCTTGTTCTGCTCTCTTGCGCGCCTCTTCTCGTTCTAGAGCTTCCTCTTCTTCCGTTCTCTGCCAGTACCGCCCCATTGCTGCTTGGTTCGCTCGATGCCTTCGCTGCTTCGTCGGGCTGGTGAGGTTCTTCTTCAGAGAGTTTTCGTCGTCAAAGCGGGAGATGTAGGTGACTGTGCTCTTGCTCTTGCGCTTCACCGGTAGGAACCGACGTCCAGGTCCTACTTCAACTCTGTGTACCGTTGCCGTGGCAAATCGGACGGTGGCGGTTCCGTGTCTCTCAGGCCTGCAGATGGATGATTCTGAAGAGGATACCGAGCCGGTAATGGAAGTTATGCTGGAGTCCGGTAGAGGCACGAGACAGGCATGGTCTGCTGTGGGCTTCCTGGGGTCATACTCTGGAAGCGTGGTCGAAAAGCAAGGGATCTTGCGTGGTGGTGGTTTCCGCCCATCTGGACTGGCGACTCGAAGAATTGACTTGGGCTTTGGTGGGGGAGGCAACGGTTGTTGTTGCTGTGGGCTATGGCTGCGTCAATTATAATTCTCTCACTCATTTATATCATATAACGATAGGGACTTACCCTGGGAGCTTCTCTTTGCTAGCTTTTTCTTCGGAATGGTCCCCGTTAGAGGCTTCTTCTTTGACTTCTGATGTGTTTTGGTCCGAATTGGTTGATGCGGATGTTGTTGTTTTGTTGATGGCGTCTGTTGATGCGGCCTTGGTGGTCGTCCTGGGAGCAGATTCCGATGCCTTATTGTCCAGCGTCCAGGAAGGGGTCTTTTTAAGCTTGGCCTTAGTGAGACTGTCTTCGTCGACAGCGGCAGCACCGGGGACTGATATGGAGAATCTCCGTAAAGCCATTGAGCGTCTACGTGCCTTCTTTTTATCATCGGTACTGGAGCTGTGCCTGCGGCCTCTTGACAGGCCATGGTGGGATGGTGAGGTGGGTGCTGGCTCGGAAGATGAGGTGGAGGGTGTCTTGGTAGGGCTGGATCTTGGCTGTAACCCTGCCCACGAGAGAACGGAAGTTAACGAGTCCCTTTTATGCGGCTGACGATGCCTGCTTGACTCTCTTGGCTCTTTGGACATGGTGACTGATGGTTCCTTTTCTGTCTTTTTGTTTGTGACCGATAAGGAATCCGTTGGTTTAGGGTAGGATACAAAAAAGGAGGGGTGCCGGCTAAAGCGCTTTGTGCCAGCAAGTATATATCGTAAGGTGACAGCAAATCCAATCACCTGAGCGGTCCCTGAATGGACTAAAGAATCCTGCGAGAAGGAGAGGGCCTGAGTGGTTTTGAAAAAGTGGCTCGGGCATGTTTAGGTCAAAACTAGGACGACTTCACATCGCGATGAGCCATTGGGATGGCACTGTATGGTACGCGGGGAAGCCAATCACGGCGTGCAGCCGCGCTTTTTGTGCTGGCTGTATGCCATTTGGCATCACTGGATGAGATAGATGACATAGGTAGTCGTCGACTCTCAGAACGTACTGGATACCGGGTGAAGCGCCCGGAGAGCGGATTGCTAAGAAAAAAAGCAAAGTCAACAAAGTCTGTAAATACTTGAGGTTGGTGTGCCCCTGAATTGGCCTCGACTATCATGGGCATCCCAGCCTTTTTTGTGCCAACAAACACACATCCAGAACGCCATTCCTCTCTGTTGTCTCCTGATGGCAACCAATGGATAGGCAATGAGCGCGTACCCGATGGATCTTTCTGTTTCTCTGTTTCCGAGTGATGGGTAAGGGCGCCAGTTGGCAGCAGTTCATGCGGCCAAGCTAGCACTAGTAAGCAGCAGCAAGCAGATCCAAGCAAATCCAGACAAATCCAACACTTGTTTCTGGTGGTACAGAATGGAGCCAGGAGTTGTAGAGATTGTGTCATTGGTGGTGCGAGCAACAGCAAGTCGAGGCACTCATTGGCGCGGCCAGCAGCAGCTAAGCAACCGAAGGCGGAGTGAGCGGAGCGCAGCGATTTGGTACACGTGTTGAACGCATTCTCGTAGAGGCCGTGAGCAAACAGGAACTAGAGGTGATAGTGTGCGGTCGAAGAAAAACATGAAACCCGACTTTCTGTGTTTCGGTGAGATGGATGAAACATGTGGTTCTCAGCCGTGATCAGTTGTGCCCAAACTATGTAGGTAATGTCGGCCGCTTCTGCCGTACAACTGAACCACAAGCAAGGCAAGTGACTCGGTAGGCAGCGGTAGTGATAGTGGACGGAGAAACGGAGTGACGGAGTGACGGAGGTTAGCCGACCGGGTGTAGTGACCTTTTTGATTCGGATCCGCTCAGGAGCCGAAGAGACCTGGACCGAGGATGTCAGGACGGGATAAGCGGGCTTCTTCACCGATGGACTCGGCCGATGGACCCTGCCGCGTTCAGCCCCGGTGCTCTCAACTTGAATGAATGGCTGCTGCCGAGCCCGACCGCCGGTCCCAAAACCATCACTGCGAAATTCCGAGGCAATGAACCAATCGGCGGACTCTCGCTCCAGACAACGGGAATCTTCCCTCTTAGTAATATTTCTTATCTTATCTGAACCTCGCAAGGTCCTCAGGATACCGCATATCTACGGCTACTCTCGGCCCAATTGACGTCAAGAGGTCAAATTCCGTACTTTTGAGTGATGGGAATTCCAAGCTACCAATTCGTTGCATTTCACCGCATCTTACACTAAATACGTCGGAAAGATCAATGACAATCTGTGTGTTATGTGAGTCTTGTTGATCTTACGTACCTGTAACAACCCCTCTGTCGTGACGCCATGAGCAATTGATGGTGATGATAATGACTCTTCTGTTGGAGTTTCAGGGGTAAACTGAAGGGCGCGCCAATGTGGACCCAATTTGCTGGAGGCTGCGAACTCGGCGGCAAGGGTCCGTTCCAACCGACATTTTTCTCCTCCCACGGCAAACAAAAGTTGTGTTGATACGACCTCCATGACTCAACATCCATCTTCAATTTACAATGAATGTCTGGTCGATTACAATGGCCTCCGTCTTCGGTGGTTGGAATCTGCACAACAAACGTGGCAATGGGGCGGCATTGACGATCCGACCCCTCCTGTGCTCCAGGTTCCTTTTGCTCGGGTTAAACAATGTGGACAAATAACGTGGGAGTTACATCGATCCCAAACGAGGAGGTTGTTGAAGACTGAGACATTGATGTAAGCTGCGCATATCTGCGGCACATCGCTTGTCCAAGGCCGCGGATAGACACAGCGCACCTATGCGCCGTCCCTTCGAGAATCTTGGACAACTTTTCTTTTTACCCACATCTCGAAAAATCCCCACCTGACCTCTTGTTAATGAAAATCCATTGGTCAATGGGTCAGACATAACCAGTGTCAGGACTTGGGAAAGAAAAAAGAATGACTCCGGTCCACGAGTGATCCCGGTCTTTGTTATCGGTCCCGTCCCGTATCTGGGCCTCGGGTCCCCCAACCCTCCGTCTCCATCTGTCTTTTCTCTCCCGTGGCGTTGCCGTCTCATGATAAAACCTTTTCCCCCCCCCATCTTGACATTTTTCCTCTCTCTATACCTTCTCTTCATACCATCCCAACTCCCGGTACCACTACGCCCCCAATAATTCAAAATGGTGTCTCATTCCGAATCCCCCAAGGAGGACCTTTCTGCCGTTGCCCTCGAGCACACCATCGACGAGGCCAACGCCCTCATCAACGGCACCTCCGATGTCCCCAAGATCCAGGAGCTTGATGCCTCCAAGCTCGTCGTCACCCTCGCCGACCCCAATGCCCGCCAGGTCCCCGACGAAGCTACTGCGAATGCTGCCTCCGAGACCATCTGCACCGACCACATGGTCACTGTCTCCTACAACGTCGAATCTGGCTGGGGCATCCCCGAGCTCAAGGCCTACGGCCCCATCTCCCTGATGCCCACGGCCTCCGTCCTTCACTACGCCACCGAGTGCTTCGAGGGTCTCAAGGTCTTCCGCGGCTTCGATGGCAAGCTCCGCCTCTTCCGCCCCAACCTGAACGCGAAGCGCCTGCTCATGTCCACCCTCCGTATCGCCCTCCCCGGCTTCGACCCTGTCGAGGTTGAGAAGCTCATCGCCAAGCTCGTTGCCGTCGATGGCGCCAAGTGGCTCCCCAAGGACCGCCCCGGCTCCTTCCTCTACATCCGCCCCGCTGTCATCGGCACCCAGCCCCAGCTCGGCGTCCAGGCCCCCAAGCAGGCCCTCCTCTTCATCACTGTTTCCTTCATGCCTCGCATGGACAGCCCCGCCGGTGGCATGCGCCTTCACACCAACCCCGAGGATATGATCCGCGCTTGGGTTGGCGGTTTCGGCTACGCCAAGGTCGGTGCCAACTACGGTCCTTCCCTCCTCGCTACCAACGAGGCCAGGGCCCGCGGCTTCCACCAGATCCTCTGGCTCTACGGTAAGGAGGCTTACTGCACTGAGGCTGGTGCTTCCAACTTCTTTATCGTCTGGCGCGCCAAGGAGTCCGAGGGTGGCAAGCTTCAGCTCCTGACTGCTCCTCTTGACGACAAGCTCATCCTTGACGGCGTTACCCGCCGCTCCGTCCTCGAGCTCGCCAAGGCCCGCCTTGCTGGCGAGGTCGAGGTTGTCGAGCGCCGCTACACCATCGATGAGGTCATCGAGGCTGACAAGGAGGGCCGCATTGTCGAGGCTTTCGCCGCCGGTACTGCTGTATGTTACTCGTCCCCCCCCCCCCCCATAGCTCATCTTTCCGCCCAAGCACGTACTAACTTTGCCGTTTACAGTTCTTCATCGCCCCTGTCTCCCAGATCCACCACCGCGGCACCGACGTCCACATCCCTCTCGGCGAGAACGACTCCGGCGTCTATACCACCAAGATCAAGTCCTGGATGAAGGACATCATGTACGGCAACGAGCAGCACGAGTGGGGTGTCGTCATCAACGAGGAGTAAGCCTGCCCAATACACCCACATAGCGATCTGATATCCCCCCCCCCTTTGGACCATCGACCCTAGCGAGCGAGGGATCTTCCAACTCCGGCCCCCCCTTACTGGATTCCTGGATTTTCTTTTTCTTTATCGCTGTGCAATGTCTCTTGTCATTTGATTGTTTTTGGAAACCAAGCGTTTGCTTTGCAAAAGAGTTGGGAAAAGAACAAGGATTATTCACACGACACTTGATACAAACAGGGATGAGGCTGTCGCTGGCCAAAAGAGGAAGAGAGAGCAGAATGAGGAGGCAAAGCGCGAGTAAACCTCGCTCGCTCCTCTTGCCTTTCATCGACCACTACAAAGAAGGACGACCGCCTATCTAGAGTGGAGGTTTAGAAGACTGAACAACAACAAAAACAAAACGTACGGATGACGGTACCTGGTATGCATAGCATTTATATATGCGAGTGCATGGAGCCATACACAAAAGAGGAATGTTTCTGCATTTCAAATGCATTTCAAATGCAGTTTAAAGAGCAAAAGCAAAAGCAAAAGCACCAAAAGCATGCAGGGAAGAAAAAGAGCGGCACGTTTGGGCGTTTTGGGTTTTCGACATATTCCCTGGAGGGGATGTTAAGTGTAGAGAGATTTCTTCGTCTTTTTTTTTTTTTTTAGAAGCGTCTGTATACCCGGAAGAACGAATAAAGTCAACAAAGATTAGCTCTGTCCCGTTTGTGAAAGATGTGTGGTGCAAGGACCTTTAATATGCAACTCGGCTGGGTAGGTAGGACAGGCAGTTAATCAATTACTTCCTTATCTACCTGTCTACCACCGGTTAAATAGACATGAGGTCGTTTTAAGGGTCAGTCAAACCTTACCTACCAAACCTTAGCAGTGCTAATGACAACGTGCAATCACAGCATCGCTTCCAGGTTACACAGAGACATGGACATAAGACGAAGTAACGGAACATGTAAATATAGACGCAACCAACGCTGTGAAAACCTGAAAATTCTGTAGATCTTTCCAACTCAATCTCGACGTCTCCGTATGTCTCTGCACATGCCCAGCTGATATCATCAAACAGAAAAAGAAAGAAACCAATTTCTTCTACATCCGTCTATATCTCTCTCTCTACCTACCCTCCACCACCACCACCTACCACATTTTGGTTTTTACCCACCTACAACTAATCA